ACAGTAATGTTCTGTGAAAGAGCACTTACTGATTGTAACAATTGTAAGTTATAATCATAATTTCCCTACACCACTATGTGGCCTTTTTACCATTACAGTATGTTTTTAATTTGTTTAACATTAATTCATTTTTTAACCTTAAATGGGTTTGGGTATTTTTTCTATTTCTTAATTCAGGGAACAGAGACACGGTCCCTATATGATGATATCTAGATGAAAGAGTTTCTATGTGATGGGATTTATCTGACCTCAGTGATGCAAGACAGCTAGCACACGGTCGATTTAAACAGGTCGGTTTAGCCAGTCGGTTTAGTAAGTCTGTCTACCTCCTGACCTGAGCCCCAATTCATCTTTGAGCTCTAAGACTATCTGCCATATTTCTAAAAAGCAGCACCATCCCAAGAGGGATGAATACCATCTCTTTTCAACAGGTCAGGTCTGCCCCAAAAACTTTTCCAATTTTCTATGAATTCTAGAACCGTCTTCATTCGAGTAGTTTTTGCCTATTGTTTAAATTGTAAATACTTTCACATACTATATGTTGGAAAGTAGGAATATTTCAAATGAATGCAGTCACAACTATAAAACTATTACATTGATTTCCTCAAGCCAAAGACTACACCATTTCATGTGTCCTGTCATCTTCAAGTTCACCACCTCCCAGATCACACAGACTTTCTGGGAACAATAAAATAAGATCCAACATTAATTGTATCATAAACAGATATCATATTTCATATTTTCCTATAATGCTGAAAAACTGTATATTGAATTTTTCCAATGTGGATGTGCAGCGAAGAGCAAAAGCAGAGTGCAAGTTTCATGCAAAGACCGTGACTATGGTGATTTTTCAAATGTATCCCATTCATTGTAGTACCAGACTGTAACTGAAGTAGCCTTCAACTGAAAGCAACTGTCACTGACATATCTTATAACATGTCAGTGCCATTGTTTTGCCTCAAGATGCACACCAGTAAAGTTTTTTTTCTAAGGCAATTTTATTCAAAATACTTGAATACAAAATACAAAATCCTGGCTTAATTTAAGCCCTGTCTATGAAACTGGGCCAATATTATTGAACACTAATAATTTGTATCAACAACATTAACATAATATGAACGATTATACAAGCATTAATCTGTTATTCGCATTTTCATGCCTCCATGTTTCAATGTGCATTTACTACAGCTATATATTAAGTATACTATAGTTATATAGGTATACATACCTATTAAGAATACTTACCTATTTGAGAATAATATATTCGCCTATAACTTACTCATTAAAGACTGTTAGTATCAACAAAACAATAAAACTTCACAATAAAAAAATGTTCATTGGAAGCAAAAACAAATATTATGGTAATGCTGTGATGTCAAAGCTCTTGAGAACACAGATCTAATCCACCAGACCTTCTGTGCTTTTCAACCACTGGTTAGAGAGATATTGGCTATCAGTATATCTGTGTTGCCAGGGCTTCCAACTGGACCCCAAACTGGCACTTAACCGTCACTGTGACCGTGTGTGGAACAGTGCCTATCACCAGAGAGACCCTGGCACACACCAGGGCATGAGGCACAGAGGCAGGCAGAGAGGGCATTGGGCAACTGGCCAGGCACATAGAGGGCTGCTGAGAGGCAAAGCACCACTGCCACCAGCAACACAATCTTGCCAAAACAACACACCCCTAGCAAAACCTTCAAATGCCAAAATAAAGGGCTATTTTATATAGAACTATTTCAATTATCTCCAACCAAGGCAAAGATAATAAACAGATGCTCCTCGTAAAGTATCTTTCAAGGTGGAAAGTGGACCAATATACAGATTACCGTAATATTTTCCAACTCAGTGAGACTACAGAGAGTGCTCATTGTTTGTTTTTAAGGCTTAAGGATTTTCTTTGCTATAAACAGCTTTAGAACAGGTGAGGAACTAGCTGACAACTCAGATCATGTCAATCATTAGATAAAGTAGACCAAAGTGTTCAAATGTCAATTGCTGTAATCTCATTCAAAGACCTCAGAGCTAAATGTTTAACTGTCTGAGGAAAAGCCTTTGACGCAAAAGCCAAACAAGAAACCGTATTGTTTCAACATAATAAATCTGCCGTTACAAAGCTTCCGTCCAGGCGGTCAGCGTGTGGGTGTGGATCTGGTTAATGGGAACACTCAAACTTGTACATGCACATAAATAAAATTCTGTAATAAAAAAACAATGGTTCACTACAAAGTTGAAATGGAAAGTCATTTAATGGACTCTTAAAACTAGATGAAATATTACCAAATATGACAACAATGGATGAAATCTGAAAATGAGTAGTAAAAGATGAGTGCACAGGTTTCAAATGAGCTGGAAGGTGAAGAGGTTGTGAGGGGAAGGATGAGTCAAGCTTTATTTGTGTAGGCATATTAAAATAATTAACACAGGAGATTGACATCCAAAATTCCTCAGTAGAAGGGAGGATTTTACATTGAGGAGAAACTCTCTATTAAAAGGGAAACAAATGAAGGGTGGACCTTTGCCCTTGGATGTTGAGATAACACTGGTCAGTATTCCAGATCTTGGGAGTGTCAGTGTCCTGTTCGTCCTGAATGAGCTCAACACGGAAAACAGAACAGTTTGAAGAATTTAATTACTATGAAATTATCTTCATTTTTTTTTTTTTTTCATGTAAGGGTGTTTCTTCAACTTCAGCTAATTTTATATCCCAAGGGGTGATTTTTATTAAAACTCAAAATTTGTCAAAGATTTTTTCCAAGCCTGGTCCAAGACCTAAGTCTTTTGTTTTAAATATGAATTATTACATTTAAAACTATAAGGATATCAAAAACAAACCATTTCAATACATATTGGGTGTAAAAAAAATTATAACACACTTAAAGAACAACTCCTTTGAACCTTTTGGTCTAATTACACATTGGTAGTCAACTGTTCTCTAAAATTTGTTTTCATGATAATTGAATGTGAAGAGTTTTATCTCTAAAAACTGTTTAGCGTATAACGCTAGGGCATAGAGTAATGAAAAATCAAAATCGCTAGTTAATAGCACTAACAAGGCTCAAAATAGCCCCACACTATAACACTGTAACATATTGAGGGTCCCTACAAGCAAACCGAAGCACTGAGAACTTTGTAAGTGTACAGACGGTTTAATAAGAATATATTTTATAAAGACAGTCCACTTCACGTATACAGGCCATAGACAGTAAAATAAATGGACACAGCGACTTCAGAAAATTGAAGCCCGTTAAAAGCGTACTGTGCAAGCTCAAACTGAGTCTGTCACGTGATCAACCTGTATGTCTTCAAGTAGCTGTGCCGATTGAAATCTGAATAATGGGCTATATGCACGCATAAGTTCCGCATTTGACGTAAGGATGCTCGTCCATTTCCGGTTGTGTAGATTAAAGCGGAGGAAAACCGGAGAAAACGGGATTATGGCAGTCTTCAATATTTACTGTCCTCCCGTCTTTGAAACGAAACGTACATACGTTTAGATGTAATTTTATATATATAGGTATGTTTATTTAATATAATTTTAAAAAGAAGCATAAACACAACGAGGGGTGTCTGTTTTATCTGTTTTTGTGACTAACGTTTCATAGTATAACCATGGAGTATAAAATTCAATATAAATTCTCGGTATTGCATTGGACTCTATGATCGGCGGAAGTTATCGAGCATCCTTAATCCTTCACCGGAAATAACGCTGTGCATAGAGCCCATTCCCTTCCGAATCTCACAGAGATGGAGAGAGTGAGTATAAGATGTCCATGAGCTAGCAGCAGGATCAACTTAAAGACACTATATGGGCTTCTCCCTCGACTTTATCTAACTTTATGCCTCCACGGCATTTTCTGTACTGTGCGATGGAGAGTCGATTCATTATTTTGCAATCATTAGCCTTTTTTTTTTTTTTTTTTTTTTTTTTACAAAAAATGCATCTACGGGGCCATAACGTAAGATACAAGGTAATGGAGCTTTTTATAAATGTCGTGTTTCTATAGAAATCAATAATGGACAAATGGAGTCTTTGGACGCCTCAGATGTAAAGTTATTTGCTGTCAAAGTGACGCCAAAATCAATGGGAGTCAATGGAATGCTAACAGCAGGTGAAGTTCTGCTACAATGGCGGCTCCCGTGAGGCTTCAACTTCCGGCCGATGGATTACCCCCTTGATACAGGCAGGAGCCATCTTTGGAAAACAGTCTCGACCAGTCGAACCACAAACGGCATTCACAGTTCAGAAGTTCGCTGAACTTCATACATTTCAGCTCACTTGGCACGGGTATTCGTGGTTCAACTTGTCGAGATTGTTCTCCAAAGATGGCTCCAGTCTGTACACACGAAGTGGACTGTTTTTATAAAATATATTCTTATTAATCTGTCTGTACACTTACACAGTTCCTAATGTTTCGTTTTGCATGTAGGGACACTCATTATGTAACAGTGTTAGTGTGGGGCTATTTTGAGCCTTGTTAGTGGTATTAACTAGTGATTTTTCATTACTCTATGCCGTATATACTAGCGTTATATTATGCTCAACAGTTTTTAGAGATACAACACTTTACATTTGATTTTCATGCAAACAAATCTCAGAGAACTAGGTCGACTAGGTACCAATGTGTAATTAGACCAATGGTTCATTTTGCAGTTTTGGGTTTTGGCAGACAGTTTTGACAATTTACAAAAAATAAAATAAATAAATAAATAAATATATATATATATATATATATATATATATATATATATATATATATATATATATATAATGTGTTTGCTATTAAGACGAAGGAATATGCAATTGTAATCCAGAAATATTATTAAACACAAAAGATAATATTAGATGTCATGGAAATGACAGTGTTCATGATATATTGTACAGATATCTGAATAATTTATTTAAACTGTTAGACATTGTTAATGGATAAATTAAATAAACTAGTAAAAGTGTGAAAAGTTTTTTACTTTTATATAATAAAAAGCACAAACCAAAATAACTGTAGTCAAGTAAAAGAACACCGTTTATTTAAAAAAATGCTTTCATAAATAATTTGATATGCTTTAAACTCCCATGACCCATACAAAATAAATATTATGAATGACTCCACAAAAAATAAGCTAATAAACAAACTCCATAACTGACATGATTCAATCATAAACCTGAATATGGTCGTCAGGACATATTACAAGACAGCGCTTACTGGTTGCTTATATTATAATATTTATGAATAGTGTATTAAAGTAACACAATGTTCAGTGGAATATCTGTACTCACAATAGTAATATCTGCTATAACAGTGAATAAATTCTAGCAGGTCTTATTGCTTCACAATTGACACATACAGTACACACGCGCGCACACACACACACACACACACACACACACACACACACGCACACACAGCCTATAAACATGAAGCTTCAGTGAGTACTGCACTTTTATAAGCTCTCTTAATAATTGATAAGATGTTAATATAATTCAGTTGTTCTATAATATTAAATATTAAATAAATGTCATTTGAATCAAGTAATGGAATCAATCCAGAAGCCCCTGCACAATATCTTCCCCCATTGTGACAGTTGGGTAGTGATGAAAAGATTTAGATAATTCACAACATTGGTTTAACAGCAAAAAAAAAAAAAATCAATCTTAATAAAATTTAAGACAGCTACTGTGCTCAGAAATTCTAAAATAGAAGAAACTCAGCAGTTTTTAATAACCAATAATATGACCCCCATTCCGTAAAATCACAAGTCATAAAATGTACTGAAACAATAACAACCAACAGAAAAAGACAAATAAAAAAGTTAAAAAAAACATGATATTCACAATACATATTCAAGTCTGTACCTCTTGTAATAAGTAACTGTTTTCAGCTTCTAAATGCTGTAACAAAAAACAAAGAGCTGATTTATAACATTATTTGTGTGGAGTGTAATGCGAGACAAAGAGATTCTCTTCTGTTGACAAATTGTAACTACTTCAGGTTATGATAGTGGTACATTTGAGCTTGTTTTAAATTAAATTCATATTCTCAATCTAGCTTTTCAAATGGGATCTCAACTAGAGCTAGATTTAAGATAGAAAGGGCAACCAATCGCTATCAGAGCCATCATGACAAGAAAAATTATTGTTTAACTGTTTAAGATTGGCTTGTAAGTATAAATGTGTTTACCCCAGATGTACTTGTGGATCATTACGGTGTTTTCAGAAAACTGTAAACCAAAAAAAGTCACAGTAGTGTCTTTTTTTCAGCTAACGTATAGTAAGTTATTTTATTAGAACTGCATGTTTAGAGGCACTTCAGACATTTGGGGATTTGCTACTTGATTTCAGGGTTTGGATTTGGAACTTGTACAAATGTTACAAGGTAATTTAATGACAAGTTATGCATTTATAGTCTTGTCCAATAACCTATCCAGGCAAAAATAAAAAAAATATAAATCATGTTTAATCCTTTTTAGTGAATTTAATTTAGAACATTTGAACTTTTTTTGATGTGTCATTTAAAATAAAGCATCATTGGATATTATTATTATTATTAGTTTAACAGCTCCTCAAAATAATGCACCCCATTTCCACTGTGATATAAACATAAAAATAAATGTTTAATAAGACACAAATGATTTAAAAACACGGATTTTAAAAGGCACAAAAACATAAACAATGAAAAAGAAAACAATCAAATACAGTTATAGTAGTCAAACGCTTAGCAGGCATTAGCAGTGCTTGGTGCAGAGGAATGCGTAATTATGTGCGTTATAGTAAAAGGTATTGTAAACTGTGTTTTTGTACGTGTATGTGTGCGTTGTTAAACGAAACTTCAGCAGTGTCTTTCACCCATGCCAGAGGTCATGACTCACCTCGAGAGCCATCAACCCTCAGTGCCATAAAACCAGACAATCTCCGCCCACTTGCATGACAAGTGCTCACGTGATCCAGACCTGGGGGAGAGGACTGGGCAGAGGGCTCAACAAATAAGGGTTACCCTGGAGACAACAAAGCCTCACAATCAACTATTCCCTTGACCTTCCCTGACCCAGCATGTGCAGTCAAAACAGAAAAAGACTACATATTTGACACTGTCATTTCCAACTTCATTCTATATGAATAGATGTATATATCAGATTATTTTCATCAGTAATGTAGAACCTGAAGAAGTTTGATCCAGTAGAGATACCAATCTATAGTGGAGAGTGTTTTGCTGAAGACAAAGGGGGAGGGGGGAGAGATTGGGGTCGGAGGGTAACCTTTCCCACTGGAGAGATGTGTGTGTGTCTCTGTCTGTCTGTCTACACATGAGAGCGTGAGGTCAGGTTGAGCCTTAGAGGCTGTCTGCTCCTAAACGGCAGGAACCACAGGATCTTCCAGCGAGTGCCAAACACCTCAGCCATTGCTTGCTGCCACGACCGCCGCGGTCCACTGGGAGAGCGGAATAAATTAAAGTATGCATCATAAGTTCATGTGAAATAATATCACCCCTGAAATATGAACTATAGAGAGAAGCTAAGAGCTTTAGGAGAAACTGGGGCTAGTTGTCACACATTTTACTCAAGTGAAAATTAGTCATTGCAGGTTTACGTTTTGAAAATTAATTTCTATTTTAGACACATAATCTAAACACCTTATAAAAAGTTATTAAAGGTAGTGGAAGAACGATATGGTTTATTGAACACAAATCGATTCATTGTGGCCAATAGTGGGGAATGTTGTCATATTACATAATGCAACCTGCTATTAATTGGTTTTCAGTTAAATTTACACAGTAAAACAATTATGAAACACTAGAAGAGTAAATCAGAAGAAAAACTAATTCTGAATTTTCTTTTTTGAAACAAGTATACTGTTCAGAAGTTTAAGGTCAGTGATGTTTTTGAACAAATTCTCTTAAGATCACCAAGTCAAAATTTAGTTGATAGGTGGATTACAATTTAAAATAACAGTTTTCTATTTTAGCAGCCATTCATACAGTCGGAAACGCGTCATAGTTGGGGGGCGTGGTCGGTGTGGGGGAAAGCAGCGCGACCATGCTATGTATTTGAATGACAAAAATGTCATATTGCGAGTCGTTGACGCCTGGCGACCGGCAACGGTACATTGCAAAATGAACTGTAATAAGTTGTGATTGCCCTTATTTAATTAAAAACTGGGTCAATGACCCAACCAAAAGGCCGGAGGTGTCGTTTTCAGACTATTGTTATCTGGTTGAATCTCCAGGTAAGACATCGCTGTAGCTACCGGTAGCATTCGCCTATAACTCAATCAACTTGCGTATAAGTTACTGTAAGTCCATAAAACCTTGTCACTTACCAATTGTACGCATGCTTCACTCGAAACTATTAATGCTTTTGTAAAACGGTGATCATTAGTAGAAGCTACGAAGTTGCAGAGGGACTTTGCTGACAGTTTTCCGAAATCTCACAGACTGCAGTCTGTATTGAGCTGATAACCTTCAGCTGATAACACTAATGTGAATGAAACATCCCTTATGAAAAACAACTATAGGAATCGTGTAGTATTTTGGGACAAAATATTATATTAACGTTAATCCTATAGGAATACTATAGTATTTTGGGACATAGCCTAGAAGTACAGAGGTATTACAGAACATCACAGAAGTATTGTACACCACTATAGAATAATACTTATAGCCATTGGATTACTATAGACCATTTCACAAGATGTAAACAACACTGGTCCAGAAGCACTTCCTGTTTCAGTTTGTAACTGTTTTCTTTATTTCACATGTAAAGAAAACATCTTAAAGATGTTTGTTTAACTTTTTGATTCAGTTTTAAATGTTCTGTTGGTTTTATTTTATCCCAGCTTTTATGTAGTGTTAAAAACTGAAACAGGAAGTGCTTCTGGACCAGTGTTGTTTACATCTTGTGAAATGGTCTATAGTTCTTTTTCGTAAGGGATCAGTGTTGGGTGTAACTAATTACTAAGTACTTAGTTACTGTAATTTAATTACTTTTCCCTTGAAAATGTAAAGTAAGGGATTACTCTTCACTTATCTGTAATTTTATTACAGTTACTTCTGATGTAATTGAGGTAAATATTGTGTATGGATCAATCCGATCTCACAGCGAGTCGTATGCATTTTATGAGGTGTCTAAATTGTACGACCGCACTTATACAAGTTCGTATGAATTATTGTAAAATATGTATGAAAAAAAGTGTGAAATGTCATGAGATCAGACATAAAACAATAGTGGGTTTAATCCCATCAAAATGTATTAACTGATGCTAGAAAGTAGGTTTTTATAATGTAACCTTCTCCACCTTGGTCAGTTTAAGGATAAGTCATGCAATGTTATAGTATTTATTTGAAAGAATTAAAACAGATTCATGTCTATCCTTGTATGATTCAGCTGGTTGAGATTGATATGGGATTTTGAAAGTAATTAGTAATTAAAAGTAATTAAATACTTTTTAGAGAGAGTAATTAGTACAGTAATCTAATTACACTGTTGAAGAGGTAATTAGTAACTAGTAATTAATTACTTTTTTAGAGTAACTTTCCCAACACTGTAAGGGATATAACGTCAGACAAATCTGGCCCACTGCCTAATACGAGTTTAAGACCCACTACTATATCACACAGGGATCTACTCACACAGTCATCTAATAAGTTATGAATAATTTTGCCATTTTGTCCTCCTACCTAGTTCTGTATGTATGTAAGAAAGGATGTAGAACTTCAATTTATAATTTGTTGGTACTTATAATTGGTGGTACAGAAAACGACACAGCAACTCTTCGGCATGATTGTCGCATGTATTTCAATGAGCGCCAAGGCAATGTTTTCCCCCACGGGCTAAATTCACATCACGTGACGGGGCGTTCCCGGGGGCGTTCCCAGACCAACCGACTGTATCTATTATTTCATTTTTCAGTGTCCTTCAGAAATCATTTTAATATGCTGATTCTCAAAGAATATTTGTACTTTTAAACCTAATTACTGCTTATTAATAGTTAGTAAAGTAGTTGTTAAGTTTAGATATTGGTTAGGATTAAGGGATGCGGAATATGGTCATGCAGCAGAATAAGGCATTAATAAGTGCTTTGTTAGTAGTAATAAACAACCAATATCCTAGCTACTGTTTGAGCAAGCAACTAGTTAATAGTGAGAATTGGACCCTAAACTAAAGTGTTACGGAAATCGTTTGTATAACAAATGTATTTATATTGACACTTTTGATTAATGTAATGCTTCTTTGCTGAATAAAATTCTTTACGGTTTTGAGTTTGAGGCCAGTAAGATTTTTTACAGTTGAGCTGTAACAAGTAGCCCCGCGGGTTTAGATGGCATTACATTATTGTTAAATGACTGAAATGATACTGCAAGTTTCGATACTTACATGTCTTCCAATAAGTGCGACATCTTCTCTATGGTCGTTGTGTCCTGCCGTGGAAAACATGAAGGATATTGCTTAGTATCAGCAACAAACTATGAGCAAGTTATTTCTTATGAATGTACGAGACAATACAATGACAATTCATGAAATGATTTATGACAGCGAGCCAGTGGATGCGAGGGGGTGAATTGGATCGGTTTTTGATCTTTCCCACGCTGGGAGTGAAAACCCACTACAGAATACACTGAGACAAAAGAGAGACAGTGAAGCTGACAGCAGCAACACTCCCTTGGTGCCCTCCTCACCTTGCCAAGTTGGCACAGGGGCAAAAGGGCATCTGCCTGCGGACAATGGGACCGCATGCATAGGGATGCTAAAATCCCCCCTGCTTGCCAGGTGAAGAGACGCGGCAAAGAGACAAAAAACAAAAAACAGACTGAATATGTAAATAAGGTGGGATTAACAGAGGCGAGACTGAAGGGACTGTTTGTGTGAAAAATGGTGGACGTGTGATTGACAGTGGCTTTTTTAGAACAATCTGTGCTTTGTGTGCGATCCACAAGACAAATAAATAAAAAAGGGCTCCGTTAACCATCAGAGGTTATGTAAAAATCCCGACTTGAATTGCTGAAGTCAATGACTCTTCATAAGTTAGATTCACACTGTGAACCGCTAGAGGACACACTCTTGGCCAGGAGCAGCAAGCGTCATGCCAATCCGACATGGCTGCACTTCAGGCCGAACTGAGCTGTACACAGAGAGCATGCGTGAGGAAAAGATCTTTGCAGGGATCAATGGTTAAGTCTGCTTCCACAGTTGCTATGACTGGCACGGGGCTATGAACAACCACCCTGTCAGCCGCTAAATCTTCCAAGACATCACAACATGGGATAGAGGGGTGAAAGAGTAGCTTGTGCGATAAAGCATCAGGACTTTCCTGGCCTTTGGATAACGAGAAGGCTTAAGGGCAGTACAGGACACACGATAAAGACAGCTTAACATGGGCTTTTAGCAACACAGGTTAGATTAGCGCTGCCAAAGGAAGTCTCCTGCAAGAATGGGTTAACGTCAAAGGTCATCTAATAGAAACGGCTGGACGCAGCTTGTGTAATAATTAAGGATAACAGGATTACATTTTCAGGCTTGTGCAATTGAGCCAATGGAGGACGACACTGTTGTCCTAAGGGTTCGGAGAAAGATTACAGTTGGGTAAACTGACCCATAACAAGTGTACATTGCTATCTTGAACTTAGTTATTTAGTTGGAAATATGTAATGAGAAGACGGAAGACACTACTCAAATGACCGAGGATAGGATGTGTTCTTTGAATCGTTTCCATAGCATATGGTGGACGCGTGGGGGTCAAAGTGATCATGACTGGGAACCAGAGAATAAGATTAAGGGGAGGTGTACGCTTTTTAAAGGGCTGCACTTTTTTGCTGAATTTAACTAGGACACTGCTAATCCTCTTTTGCATCACATGAAGTCATCAATTAAAGGATAGAATCAAATGTGATTATCCCGCTTGCTCCAATCACAGCAATCTTCAGGCCTAATCAACAGAGAAAGGATGGAGGACATAAAGGAAGTAGAAAAAGAGATTGAAGGACTCAGTAATATAGTATAGGCTATACACAGAGATACAACGTCTGACCACCTTTTAAAGGTGGTTATGCGTATGCTCACGTATGCTCACCAGAATATGAGGGACCACCTACTGTATATATGTCAAACCCTTAAGGGATCTTTTCGGACAAATCATTGTTTGAGAACATATCCGTTAGCAGGATGCTTTAAGACCAAGCTGAATCCTCTGCCGGCTGGTCTTTCCTGCTTCAGACGCTTTTGCGGCAATTCCCATTCCTAACATTGTACTGATTTCAGCAAAACAGTTTGGCCAATTCCAGACAATTTAATTAGGGTTCATGAGCCCAACATCCAGCGACGCAAGAAAACATGCAAAAAAGGGAAGTCGCTTTTCACTACTATAAAGTTAATGTTGTTAAAAGGAGAACACATTTTACATTTAAGTAACTTTTAGAGTATTCCTAACCTTGGACATCATAATTGTTATTATCTATATTATCTTTTTTTACAGAAACACAAAATGACCAATAACGCACACCCAGCAGCTCAATCATATACATGGTTTAAACTACATTTTAGCTCAAATTTTAAGTGGGATTGTTTAAAAATGCTGTTTTGACTGGTTTAACATTCAGTTGTTTATGCTTTCAAATAATACGCTATATGTATTTATCTTGAAAAATCATTTAAAAGCGTATTGTATTTTGAAGAGAGGTTGATGGTATTCAAAATGCGCCTCCCACACCTCTGGATTTAACTGAGCCTTTGTAAGAAAATATTGTATAGCTGATATTTTATTTTGATAATATATCCTGAATGGAATATAATTGGGTAACACTATTTTGACAGTCCACTTTAGACATTCTATTGAACTTTGCAGGTACCGTACATGTCAACTTATTGTACAGACCCTAACCCTAAACTAACAGTCTAGTCTACTAATACTCTGATGAGAGTTGGTTGACATGTACAGTAGTTGCTTGAGACATGTAATTACATATAGCTAGTACAATGTTTAAAGTGGACTAATAATCATTGTAATATAAATGTAAAATGTTCATATCTCATGTCATTACTTGTCATTATTATGTGATTCCATGATGTTTTATCTTATCCTGTTTACACCAGGGGGCTGTTCCATAAAAGCCGCTTAGAAAAGCGGGGATTAAAGTCCAAAACCTGACTTGAATGAGCCGAGCTAAACAGCCGCGCTTAAATTGGTTCCATAACAGTAAGTTGAGGATCATATGATCTTACTAATTTGAGTCAGGTTTAAGTAGCCTAGATAATTGCGTGTGCATACCATTCTTTAAAAGTCCTGAAAAGTCGAGCATGGGTCAATCGATTTACTGTGGGCTACCATGGCAACAAAAGGAAAAGATAGAGCAGCGATGTTCACGGCAACGGAACAGCGTTTGCTGAAGAATTTAAAGATGTCATCACCAAAAAAGGCAATACAGCGGCAGTAAATAAAGCAAGAGAGAAAGGTTGGCAGGAAATTGCTGATCGTCTCAATGCGCAAGTAGCGGTGTAAACTATTTAAAATACTTTATCAACATTTATGTGTCACAAACAACACATTGCAAAGTTTGTGTGTGAATAACAGTAACGTTAATTGCTTTCATGCAGCAGCAACTTAAGTGAAGGAAAAAGAACCTGGCAGCAGGTGAAAAAAAATAATAATAATATAGTTCAGAATGGTAAGTAAATCTAATGGTATGTAGATATGTAATCAATGCCAGCTTGCCAGCAATGCCATTAAGGTCGACTAGTCGACTAATCGACTAGTCGGTTCAACCCCTAGTATACTATAGCTTTAATATCACCTGTCATTATTACTTTGGGAGCTGATGTTCCAAATATGGTAAGGGGCGTAACATTTCCGTGACACGCTAATGGTTTTTGGGCCAATCACAATGCACATTCATTGCTGGCCAATCTGAGCACACCACGCTTTTCAGAACGATGAGCTTTGTGAAAATCGATTCGTTTCAGAAAGGAGGGCATAGAGGAGCGACAATAATGTACAGTATGTGTAAAATATTGACCATTTTAACCTAAAACCGCGTAAACACATTGCAATAAACCAAACACACAAAATAATGTTCTTTTTAGTACCATCATATGACCAGCACAATTTATGTACTTACTGCGAGGATTCCTTTGACTTGTGTGTAGAAAAGGCTACTCATTCCACCAAACATAATCAGCCCCATGAAACAGGACCCACGTAGAAGAGCCAACTCATGACGTACTGCAAACTCCGCCTGAGAGAGACAAACATTTCACACACATGCTATAATCTCTCATGGACAAATCAGACCATTCCCATGCAAGATTTTTATGCTATACATTTTGGGACCCCAGGCCGTTATGGAAAGTGATGTGACACTGCTTGTTTTCTTTCGGTAAAGGCTTATCTGTGACTATTACAGCAAACACACAAATACACAAAATCCACAATACTTTGCTTCTTATGGGAAAGATAACGTCACTATCTCTTCCATACAGCTGTTTCTGTGTCCATACAGCATCTCTCGCTTCTCAGCTGCGTCTGTTTACTCAAACACAATGCGCCACAGAATAAACAAAAACAGGAAATTGAGCGTTATGGGCTTTTATTTACAGGCGCTCTAGCATTGCCATGATGGCTCAGGCTCAGCTGTTCAGCTGCATTCAAGTTGGAATGATGCTCCTGTGAATTTAAATGCTCTGACGAAAAAACACAGCACTATATTCCTGACTCTGAGACATGGCATAAAACCCACAACTTCACCTGCTATTAGTTTTTAAAATAGCAACATTTCCACTCTAAAATTTATCAAAGACCACTATGCTCTTAAAACAAATATCATTTTATTTAATTACAACTAATTTCATTTTGATTGTCAAAATTGTGAAATTGTATTAATCACCCACTACCCCTAAAGCCACCAATCATCAGACCATTACATTAAAATACAAGACCAGACCATAAGACTAAATAATTAATCGCATCCAAAATAAAAGTTTGTGTTCATATAATATATATGTGTACTGTGTATAATTATTTTGTATACACTACCGGTCAAAAGTTTTAGATTGGTAAGATTTTTAATGTTTTTAAAAGAAGTCTCTTCTGCTCCCCAAGGCTGCATTTATATGATTAAAAAAAACAAAAAAAAAAAAAAAAATATTGCGAAATATTATTAAAATTTAAAACGTCTGTTTTCTTTGTGAATATATATAGTAAAGTGTAATTTATTCCTGTGATCAAAGCTGAATTTTCATCATCATTACTCCAGTCTTCAGTGTCACATGATCCTTCAGAAATCAGTCTAATAGGATGATTTGCTGCTCAAGAAACATTCATTGTTACTTTCAATGTTGAAAACAGTTGTGCACTTTTTTTTTCAATAATTCTTTGATGAATAGAAAGTTCAAAGAACAGCATTTATTCCAAATAGAATCTTTTCTAACATTATAAATGTCTTTACTGTAACTTTTGATCAATCTATCTCATCCTTGATGAATAAAAGTAATGATTTCTTTTTTTTTCCCCAAAAAAAAAATTAAATAAAAAATTCTTACTGACCCCAAACTTTTTAAAGGGTAGTGTTTAATGTTACAAAAGCTTTCCATTTCAGATAAAAGCTGTTCTTTTGAACTGTCTATTCATCAAAGAATCCTGAAATAAAAATGTAAAAAACAGTTTTCAACATTGAAATTAATAATGAATGTTTCTTGAGCAGCAAATCATCCTATTAGACTGATTTCTGAAGGATCATGTGACACTAAAGACTGGAGTAATGGTGATGAAAATTCATATTTATATATATATATATATATTCACAAAGAAAACAGACATTTTAAATTGTAATAATATTTCGCAATATTAATGTTTTGTATTTTTTAATCATATAAATGCAGCCTTGGGGAGCAGAAGAGACTTCTTTTAAAAACATTAAAAATCTAGTGTATATAAATACAGTGTATTTATACAGTAGTGTATATAAAATACACACACATGCATGTAGTGTGTATACAAACAGTAGTGTATATAAAATACACACACATGCATGTATATATTTAATAAAAATGTGTTATTAATATATCAAATATTTCTACACACACACACACACACACACACACACACACACACACACACACACACATATATATATATATATATATATATGTGTGTGTGTGTGTGTGTGTGTAGAAATATATATAAGTAAATACATGCAAATATTTCTTAAATATATACATGCATATGTGTGTATTTAGATATACAAAATAATTATACACAGTACACACACACACACACACACACACACACACACACACACACACAGTATATATTATGTAAACAAAGTTTTATTTTGGAAGTGATTAATCGGTCCAAAGGGCGCAGGGTCACAGGGTTGTTTTTTGTTATGTTTTGTTTTTTAAGAAATTGTTTTCTGTGGAACAACTATGGGATCATCAAAGATTTTCCCTAAATCAATAACATTATTTGAAAGCAGCAATAAAATATGCAATAAAACCATAAAGGCTTAAACTTTGGGAAATTGCTGTTTGCAGGTGTGTTTTGGGTGAAATGATATGGCATAAGACCAGTACAAACGATCATCGCATGCAAATACAACTGGTGTTAAATTCAGTGTCTCGCATTCAAAGCTTATTTAGTACTTAACAGTAATGCTGATGCCACCTGCAGGTCCCTAATCTCAGTTAAGAGGTGCAAATCCAGTGCTAAATCATCTGCCTCGATTGAAAAGATTCTATTAAACCACAGAATAATAAAGAGAGCTAAATGAAAAACAGCATACTACATTTAATAGTTCTTCATTACAATATGCAAATATGTATTTGACAAAATATAATGCATAATGTGCTGTATTCCAGAATGCAATGTACTTGACTTAACTATTCATATCAAATATGCCAAATGAACTGGAAACAATATCAAACAGATAATCTGACTAATAATATATATACATATATACAGTATATAATTTTTTTATTGTTGCCAAAAAAATCAAGATTTAGAAAAAGTATTATATTACCATCACTGTCATAGTACTGCCATTGTTTACAAAGTAAAAAATGTATTGCTTGTTAATGGAATATGTGTGGTGTTTTGGGTGTAATGCAATTACTAAGTACTTAATAACTATAATTTAATTACTTTTCCATTGAAAAAAGTAAGGGATTACTCTTATCTTTTTTAACGATCTAAAACACCTAGTGTGTCAAGCGTGCAAGTAACTTTGTGGGTGGATCTCGGCGTTGTTGCTAGCTTCGGTTAAACATGCATATAATAATTTGGGTAAATCTATTTTTCCCATCGTCATGGACACAATAATGATTTCCCTCGTGTTTTAATATTTTCCCTTATAATAATGTATCTTTTACAAAAAGTAAAATGCATCTGTATAGATGAGAGAATCATCTACAGTGTATGTGCGTTGTTCTCACGCTGTATTATGGCCAAGCTTGCGCATTTAAAATAGCATCTGAATGTACGCACAACAACTGAGTTTAGACTCGTTTTTTATTTCTGGTCAGTGGCGCAATTGTTTTCTGGAATGGCAAAATAGCACTAGGGAATGTTTGCGCCGAAACACACCTCCTTTTTTGTGCCCAGGGAGCACAAGTTCATTCCCTAGTTTGCCGGCGTGCGTCTATGGAGGGAAAAGCCCGCTTTGCACGGGTGCAAAATATGAATGATACATGTGTCGGTGTATAAATCAATTGCGCTGGGTGCAAGATACGGCCCCTAATGTTAAAATGTATGTTTTTAATGTAACTGTTTCCCTTTAAATACCTTGTTCAGTTCAAAAATAATTTATACAATTTTATCGAATTTATTTGAAAGAATTAAAAGAGTAGAATGTCATTCAAATGGCCACGGTTGCTATGGTATTTAGAAAGTAGTTTTTAGAGAGAGTAATTAGCACAGAAATTGACTACACAGTTGATGTAATTAGTAATTAAATAATATTTTTAGTGTACCTTAACCCATATTGATTACGGCTCATATTTATTGTACTGTGTTTGCCTAAAACAATGTGCACCCTGAATTGGAGGGAAATTATAAGCTCCACCCACATAACTTACAACTAAGCTTTAAAATAGTTATTCAATGATTTAAACGCTTAGAGTGACAGACTTAAAGCACTCGGGACAGTATAAATGTAGGAGTATAAATGTAGGGGTGTAAATGTAAGATGGTCTTACCCGGTCCACCGAGGACAGGGGCTGGAAGTAGTAGTACTGGCAAAAGTCCAGCACCAGAGTGTAAAGACTCAGAACCTGAGTGTAAAAACACAGCTGCAAAAAGAGCCAGTGGTTATCCTCCCCAACACAGTTATTAATCCTGCACATACAGAGAGAGAGAGAGAGAGAGAGAGAGAGAGAGAGATGTAATACAAGAAGTGCAAATTAATATGTTATATGTATTAATATTTATTTGAATACCTAAACTGAATTAAACAGCTTGTCAAAATAAACAGTGGGTCAGCTTGCAAACAAAAATGCTTATAATACAGTTTGATCATTACATGTAGTTAAACTAAACATTATGATACTAATAGGCATAAAAATCCACAACCGGATCACTTCTCTAAACATCTGTGCTTCACATTTGGAAATACAATCGCACGCAACAATCTATGGACATAATATTAAGTCTATATGGATATTACTTTGACACAGTCATCTAATAACAGATTACACTTAAATGTAAAAATATGCATTTTCTGTAAAGCTGCTTTGAAATATGTATTGTGAAAATGCTATACAAATATTGAATTGATTGAATTTAAAAAAATGATGGGATAATAAAAAAACTGGCTGTCATTTAAGTGTTAGATTAAAATAGTCTATAATATATAATAATATAATTTAGGTTGGATAATGACTATATTCAATTTTGAAACCATTATATATATATATATATATATATATATATATATATATAAAATTTTACACACATAACAAGTTATTAAATAATATTATAAAATAAAATATGTATTGTTACTACTGTAAAAGTGTAAGTCTTTCAGAATGATATTTTTATTTAATCACATTTACTGGATATTTTAAATGACCATATGACTGCATTTATTAAATAAAAGCATATTTACTTTATTTATCAGAAAAGAATATGTTACAAACTTTGCTAAAGAGATTGTTATGAACAAGCATTAACTTTAACATTATTTTAGCCAAAGTATCTGCACAAAATGTGTTGCATGGTCAATTTTCAATACATTTTCAAATCATATACTATGAGTAAAAAGCGGATTGTCCATAAGGTCTTCCTTTAGCACCAATCCACCCTAATAACCTAATAATGATCAATTAATAGAGAGTAATTAAATAAAAGTGATTTAAATAGAAAAAGTATTGATTTGCCATAAATATGTAAATGCAGCATTTCAAAAGAAATCATACAGCCATCAATGTGTTTTAGGTTGCGGTCTCTGTCTGACATTAATGCTATTCGCTTGCATTTTAAGACAAAGCACATAAAGAATCACGAGGAACACAAGAGAAGAGAGTTGAGAAAGCAGGCAGAGAAGGCCAAAAGAGAGAGAGGAGAGCAAGGCAAGGTTGAACTGTTAGTCAAACGAAGACGGAAAACGATATGGCCTCATTTTTTTTCCCCTCCGCTTCCCTCGGCCATTACAGGCGATGACAGGGAGTCACGATTTGCTGAGTCCAGACAGACAGCAGCCTTCTTCAGCTGTACTGTAGCGCTGGACTTAACACGAGCTTCTCTGGTCACTCGATATCGCCTCTCCCTCTGTTTTACCCCTCTACAGAGACTTCATTAAACTTCCTCCATACAAAACCCACCAGGAATGTAAAGCTGTCTGGGGTACAGGGTCCTTTAAGGTTATACTGTGACCTTAGGTCAACATGCCAGATTTCAGTTTGGATCCTAAACCATCGTAAAGATCTCAGCACGTCTCACATAGACATAACAAGCCTTAGAGTACCGTATACAATTACCTCTATTTTTTCTCAATGTTAAACAGTTGAAAATTAATTTACTGGACAATTTATGTACAAAATACACGGATAAGATATAAATGCTGAACTTTTTTAAAAGACTCCCATGTCTCAAACTAAAGCTGGTAGAAGTGTTTTGACTTTATTATTTGTATTTCTTGCAAGAGTTTTACCAGGGACAGTGGTGGTCCATGCGACGGACACAGTGGCCGCAGCGGCTGCAGTGGTGTGACCTCTTTGGTCTCATCATGTTGCATTTATTGCACAGTTCCCAGTCGTCTCTCTCTGAAATGACAAGGCAAACAAAATCTAAAACAAAATCACTAAATCATCCACTTTTCAGTGTTGAAACCCGTACAAGCAAACTGTAATTCTAACTTTGGCAAAAACAAAAAATACACACAAAAAAAAGGTATTCATTGCCATCTAGTGGTATTCAGAGAGAAATTTTATTTTCTCAACTGTACTGAATAATAAAAAAAAGGGAAGGAAAAGAAAATGAAGAAATGGGCAAGAGAGAAGATGTACAAGAGCAGGATGCTACACATTACAACAAAACATTATCATTATTGTTCTATACTTTTAATACCAAACTTATTTCATTAAAACATGATATCCTCAGGGGACATGACTTTCTGAATTTCTTAGTGAAGCCTATTCCAATATTATGATTTCATTGGGGTCTATATATTATACTCTTAGCATGCCTCAAAGGGGATATACAATATGAAATCGAATCTACTAAAAGTCTAAATACATTGGAATTTAGACTATATAATCATTAAGATCACAATATATGATCCAATAAATATCCAAAATAATGTTCCAAAATCAATATGATGTAATTTGTGACTATACACTTTAAAATCATAATACATTCATCTTTTCCAAAATCAATATGACGTTATGAAAGGAATGGTCAGAATGTAACAAGACTAAATACCCCAAAATCTTCAATGTGGAGACAAAAATGTCCTTACAGAAATAAGATATGTGACATGCCAAAAAATTGGGGTCACACGTTTACATAAATGACTGTTAAGTTAACAGATTTCACTAGTTGGCTAATAACATTGAATCTGTTCAGGATTCCAGGATTTTCTCCATATAATAGACTTCATTGGGAACCAAACGGTTGAAGATCCAAATGAGAGTTTCAGTGCAGCTTCAAAGGGCTTTAAACGACACCAGACGATGAATAAGGATCTTATCTAGCGAAACGATCGGTCATTTCAAAAATAAATAAAAAAGTTTACGTTTTATAAGCTCAAATGCTCGCCTTGCTCTGTTTTGTGATGAGCGTTTGTGACTCTCCTGTTCGAACTCGTTCATCAAAATGAACAAATCTTTTTTAGAGTCATGACACGAAGAGTCATAAGACCTTTATTCATCGTCTGGTGTCGTTTAAAGGCCTTTGAAGCTGCACTGAAACTCTCATTTGGACCTTGAACCGTTTGGTTCCCATTAAAGTCCATTATATGGAGAAAAATCCTGGAATGTTTTCATCAAAAATCTTCATTTCTTTTCGACTGAAGAAAGAAAGACGTGGACATCATCTTGGATGACATGGGGGTGAGTAAATTATCAGCAAAAGTTTTTTTTAAAAGTGAACTACTCCTTTAAGATACAGTGGGGTTTTTAACATGTCACATTAAAAAAAAATATGATTACATTTTGATCAGACATTGGTATAAACTCAAGAAAATAAACTAATTTTTCAACAAAACCGTATAAGTTTTTTTGCGTTTCTGCCGTTCATTTACACAACAACGGCGTCTTGGGTGCCTGAAAACGCAAACTTTTGAAAACGGGTTTCAAAGTGCAAGTTTTTGAAACCAGTCTCCGAGTAAACAACAAAAACGTGAATCTCTGGAACAGATGACATCATGCACATGCGTACTACATGTTCAGTCTCACGGCCTGGCAGCAGAATACAGCATTTTTTATCTTTTTCGCGAATCTACAGTATGCGAGTTGGGGATTGTTTTGACAATGGTGTCGTCTGAACATGGAAAACTCAAAGGAAAAACGTCTCCCTTTTAAGCATACCGTTGTCATGTAAACGTTCCCTCAATCTGTTCAATACTTTTTTACTGTGTCATTTCACTTTATTAAATAACTTGTTTTATGGATTGTAATGTTTTCTTGATCTACGTGGATTGTTTGAGGTAATATTGTGTGAATTGCTGCATTGGAAAGGCTTTTAATAAAAAAATGTTGACGTGTTGAATACTTATTTCCTGTACTGTACATAACAGTCCAGTTTGTTTCCCCGCATAAAATAACCAAAAGGACAGAATCTTGATATGAAGAAAGAGTGGCCACATTTGCAGCACAATAGAATGTTCTTATAATTATAATTGCTTGTTACATAATTTTTTCTGCCTAATACAACCTCAAATGCCCCCCAGACAAGTCAAACAACTCTTCTGAAGGTTGTCTTTAACATCATTAAGCCAAGCGGATATCAGGTAATCTAAGGCATGACTTGCTAAGACCGGGCATTCAGTGATAACTAGCTTAGCGACAAGCTGTTCATAGTATCAGAGTCCTAGCTGAGTCTAATTAATCTTTCGGCAAACTGCCACTAACAAATCCTTTAAGAAAGTCTAACAGTCTGTGGTGACTGGTAAAGGTTAGAGCAGGACAAATGACAGCGATCTAGAAAAAACACTCATCCATGAGATAGTGTTGCACTTAATAGGTGAATTTGAGTGCAAAAGCAAAACTGCTAAAATACTTAAAGGTACGCTGTGCCCTCTAGTGGTTAAAAAAAACAACTTCATGCATTTCGCAGCAGAACATTGTTTTGGTTGTGCTTTGGCTCTGCATGACTATGTGGATGAATATATGAATATTTTTATACTCTGTTTTATTTTACCTTGTAGGTAATTGATTACCATTGTTGGTATTATTATAATTGTTACCTGAGTTCATGATCATATATGGTATGTATTTAGGATATGTTTTGTTTTGTTTTGGTATTGTTTTGCCTTTGATGAGGGAGAAAGGGTTTCCCTTCCTTCCCTTCTCATGTTTTCATATATGTACTTATATTCAGAATTGTTATTGAGTGTTATGATAATGTGTAAGGAAGTAATTATTATTGTTTTGTTTTTCCTGTTTTTGGTAACCGGGGTGGGTTCAAATAAGTTTGACTTCTATCCACTCCGTTTCGAGCAATAGATTTAGGTTTTGTTAAAGTCGATGTAAATATTATGAATTTAAAGGCTTGTACAGATTAATCCAAAATGCTGCGTATTGCCTTGTCATGTGTAACTACATATTGCTCGAAATAAACAAACAAATAAATAAATAAATAAATAAATAAATAAATATGACTCTTCGAGATGATGCTTTACAATGAACTGCGTTAGAGAGTTAAATATGGCAATGTATCTGTTCAATTACATACCATACTCATCTGTTCAGTAATAAATACACCATTTCTTTCACAACATTTCTAATCCCTCAAGTCTCGCAATCTCTAAAAGCAAAGTCAATACCAAGGGGCTGTTTACAAGATACTGTCTTTATAAAAAAATCCTTTTATTAATCTGTCTGCAAAGTTCTCAATGCTTCGGTTTGCATGTAGGGACCCTCATTATGTTACAGTTTTAGTGTGGGGCTATTTTGAACCTTGTTAGTGGTATTAACTAGCGATTTTTTTTTATTACTCTGTGCCCTATGCTAAACAGTTTTTAGAGATCTTTAAAACTCTTTACATGCGATTATCATGAAAACAAATCTCAGAGAATGGTCGACTAGGCACTAAATTAGACCAAAGGTTCATTTTGCGCCGGAGTTGTCCTTTAAAGGTTTGCTCTATTAATGCAATAATAATAATCAGCAAAAACTGGGTATAATGAGGTGACATTCTCCTCATTACCAAATCATTGAACATCAAAAGGAAACTTTAAAATGTAAATGTATTAATAAATTACTATCAGCAAACCATGAATAACCTCAAAAGCTCAGATGAGTCTTTTAGCAGCCTTTTGCACCAAAAAATGCACATGCTCCAAAAAAATGTACTGAACTGAACCATTGATGGGCATTTCAAAGTCTTTCCCCTCCATTTTGACAGATACATGTTGCATTTCCAAGCTTTAGAAATACTGAGTGAGTACTCATTTAAGGAGAAATAAATATGTTTTAAAGCACCATTTGAAAACCCGGGAAAGAGATGCGAGAAAAGAGATTTGGGGACAAAAAACAAGAGAGTCACAATTTCTGTCATTATTATGATAGTTATAAAAAATTCAGCAGAACAAAGAAAAAAGAAAAGAATCAAAAGGAACAGAACACAACTAGTGGACTAAAATCTTTGGGATATTAATGTCACATTAAAATATCAAGCATTATATTATTTTCCTGACGGATGAAAATATAGCATGACAGAAAATGTACAGCTTATTCAGTAAAGCTGACTGATAAAGATTATTTGTAGTGTAGCCTTATTACCTGAAATGATTGTTTCAGTCTTTTTGAGTGGAAGTTCTCCGAATCAAGAGTGCCACCCATAATTTAAAATGCAGCAGGCTCGTTCAGAAAAAAGTGGATATTTACTTCTAGGTGTAACTGAGAAAAATGTCCATCATGTGTTAGTTTACTTTAAAAAAAACATTTAGTTTTGTAGCGTCATGTATATCATACAGCGTAATCAGCCAATCATAATCTAATTCATAACATAATTATATAATAAATTTAAATAATTTAGAACCAATTACTGATTATTACATGAACATTATTAAAGGATGTGTTCAGTAAAGTCAAGTGTACTTGCAGCTAAATTACACAGACACGCTAAACCAATAGCTAGCTACTACTGTAGTATATATATCATCAATCGTCGCAAAGTAACAAACATTCGATTTCACTTATGTACAGAAACAGCTATTTATAGGAGCAAAATTAATTCTCATAAATGCTTTATGTGAGGTATTTCATACACTTCCATGTTCAAAATATACTGTATCACCTAATATCTCAGTGTCAACAGAAACCAACAGATGCCTAAACGCCAAAAATAAAAGATAATTCAAAAATATTCAAAAGTGTACCAAAGACAGTTCATAGGGGCAGTTGGATATTACTGTAACATTCTGCAAATGGTCTAGCATTAAGTGAAGGTATTAAAGGAGTAGTTCACTTTTAATAAAACTTTTGCTGATAATTTACTCACCCCAAGATATCCATATCGTTCATTCTTCAGTCAAAAACAAACTGTTCAAAGGGCTTTAAACGACTTCAGATGATGGATAAGGGTCTCATCAAGCGAAACGATTGCTCATTTAAAAAAAAAAAAAAGTTTTATAAGCTCAAATGGTCGCCTTGCTCTGTTCTGCAATGCGCGTTCGTGACTCACTTGTTCGAACTCGTTTATCAAAATGAACAAATCTTTTTTCGTGTCATATGGTTCATTCAACGAACGAAATGAACAAGTTGACTCTGGAAAAGATTTGTTTATTTTTATGAGCGAGTTTAATAGGAGAGTAATGAACGCACATCACACCCTAACCCAAACCCTAACAGAGCAAGGCAACCATTTATGAAACTTAAACTTTGTTATTTTTTTTAAATGAGCGATTGTTTCGCTTGATAAGACTCTTATTCATCGTCTGGAATCGTTTAAAGCCCTTTGAACAGTTTGCAGTTTGCACTGAAACTGTCTTTTGGATCTTGAACCGTTTGGTTCCCATTAAAGTCCATTATATGGAGAATAATCCTGGAATGTCTTAATCAAAAACCTTAAATTCTTTTTGACTGAAGAAAGAATGACATGGATATCTTGGATGACATGGGGGTGAGTAAATTATCAGCAAAATTGTTTTTAAAAGTGAACTACTCCTTTAAGACATTCACTGAACACTGAGGTATACTGCCCTCATTTGGTTAGTTAGTGGAACTTCATGAAGAGTGGAAGAGCAATGTTCTATATTAATATTCGATTAATGCATTCTGAACTCCAAGCCGAAGAGTTTTAAGGCCACTTATTAAGATGTGTGAAACAAAACTATGTACTAGAATACAAGTATAGCTATCCTGTGTTAGAGAAAAACAAAATACAAAGTATAGGTGAGCATTGTTTGTCTCATACCTCCGAGTGGAATTTTGGGGTCCTGAGCAAGTTTTCCGGGGTCGGCGGTGGAAGCCCTGAATAATGCTGAGACACACAGCAGTGATGCTAGATAGTAACCTGGAGAAATAGAAATCGCACATTTATCACAAAAGTCACTATAACTAGACATGAATTGGTGTCAAGCAGACACGTAGTGAGATTTATTACATTGCTATTTTAACATATAGGAAAACTTAAAACTTCTCTAATTAATTCACCCAAACCACTTAAATGTACAGACAAATGTGGTTTTATTGATAGCACACCTAAGGATGAAGCGATCTAATTTTGGTTTTGTTACAAAAGAGTTTAAGAATCCTGAAAAAAATAAATAAATGAAAAATAAAATAAAAAAATAATATATATATATATATATATATATATGTATATATATATATATATTCCTCAGAAATATTAGGCAGCAAAAATAATAATAATATCATTTTAGAATATATTATTATTATATATTTTTCATTAATAAATGCTTCCTTGGTGCAACCTTGGGGATTTTACCACTTTTGAACACTACACTTTTTCATTCATTGACTTCCATTTCTACGAATGCAAAATGCAGGACAGGAAATGAAATCTCAATTTCAGTGCGTTCCAAAGTTTAAGTTCAGTGAACTCTGACCTGTGAATTTGTATCACTCAAAGAGGTGTGACCAACAGAAGATAAGTGTTTCACAACGTGACCTTTTCGCTGAATTAAAAGAATGCACACTTTGCACTTGATATTTTTTTTTTAAATTTAGGATGCATCATACTTTGAATAATGTTATTTAAAAAGACTCTGCAGAGAGTGATATTATGACCGTTGAAGTGTCCATAGACATTTAGCACACTTAAAAGGCTTGTTCGACTTCATGCAGCTCTGCGCAGACCGATCGGCGGCTGACTTGAAACAGTGCATGCCGGTTAGAAATTTTGTCCGACTTGATGCAGCGCTGACTCCACGTGACTGTGATGTATGCCATCAAAGTACCGCGAGAGCGATACGAGAGTAGCCGGAGGACTCAGCCAGCGCAGCTTCTCAAGAGCGGCTGCACGAGCTTTGATGATGTCACAGCTGTTCCATGATTCGCCGGATTCACCGCATGACAACGATCACGTGCGTTTCGTGTTTAGTCTCACACCTTTAGTTCCACTAAAGCTCACAAATCAGTATTTTATAACAGTAAACACTCTTTTCATGTAGTCTCAATCGCAATGTTATATTGTGTCATGTTTATCATGTTTATCAAAATAAAACTGATTAAAAAACGTTGATTCCACGTCATTTATTATAGGCTTATTTTGAACTTTATTAGAACTTTCTAGTTCAAACAGATGCTGTATGAAGCAGTAAAGTATTGAATGAAAATGTGTCTGAAATATCTGTTTATTTGGCCAATGTTGCATTTATTTCACTTCAGCTATAAGCATGCAAACACCACGTGAGCCGTCAGTACGGGAACCAGAAATTGTCCGACTTCACGTCTCCTTTTGCAACTCCTCCCCGCCTGCACGCGGCTTTTCTCGCTGATCGGTTGCATCCAGCCGCAGGCGATGTCGAACACACCTATAGTCTAGTGCAGGGGCGGGACCCTCAAGATCAACTTTCCTTCAATCGCTCCAACCCTGAACAAACACACCTGAACAAGCTAATCAAGATCTTCAGGATTACTAAAAGGCAACAGATATGTAAATTTGGAGAAGGAAAGTGGATTTTGAGGGCCAGAATTGACCAGCCCTGGGCTAGTGTTTGCTTAAATGTTTAGCCCCAGTCTTCGTTCACAGAGTGTCATGTTTGTTATTAGTTCTCAGTTGGTAGGGAAAAAAAAAAACTTGTTATGCATAAACCTGTCCTGCTACTCTACTTACTCCCATGGTGAACGTGACCTAATTATCTCAGCTGCTATTCTCTAATCTAAGAGGAATTCAGGTACATTTGTAGATTTTCCTTATGACCTGCACAAACCAGATTTTTTTCAAAAAACAGATTTCAGTGAAACTGAATTACAACACTTAAAGAAGTAGTTCACTTTTAAAAAAAGCCTTTGCTGATAATTTATTCACCGCCATGTCATCCAAAATGTCCACGTCTTTCTTTCTTCAGTTGAAAAGAAATTAAGGTTTTTGATGAAAACATTCCAGGATTTTTCTCCATATAATGGACTTCAATGGGAACCAAATGGTTCAAGGTCCAAAAGACACTTTCAGTACAAACTGCAAACTGTTCAAAGGGCTTTAAAAGATTCCAGACGATCTTTTTCCGAGTCATTTGGTTCATTCAACGAACGAAACCAATTGACTCGGAAAAAGATTTGTTCATTTTGATGAACGATTCGAAAAGGAGAGTCACGAACGTGCATCGCAGTACAGAGCAAGGCGAGCATTTGAGCTTATAAAACTTAAACTTTGTTATTTATTTTTTTTAAATGAGCGATCGTTTCGCTTGATAAGACCCTTATTCATCGTCTGGAATCGTTTAAAGCCCTTTGAACATTTTGCAGTTTGCACTGAAACTGTCTTTTGGACCTTGAACCGTTTGGTTCCCAATGAAGTCCATTATATGGAGAAAAATCCTGGAATGTTTTCATCAAAAACATTCATTTCTTTTTGACTGAAGAAAGAATGACATGGACATCTTGGATGACATGGGGGTGAGTAAATTATCAGCAAAAGTTTTTTTTTAAAAGTGAACTACTCCTTTAATAGGGGCTGTTATCAATAGAACAGGGTGAGAGCACTTACAGACCACAAGCGAAGTGGGTATATGTCCCTCCGCATAGTGTGGCAACAGCACTAGTTTGGGAATAATGAAGCTGTTATAGAACCAGACAAACAGCACCATGCTCATGCAGAACCAGCCCATGGGGTCCACCACAAAATGCAGTCGCAGCTTCATCCTTCCGGATAGCGTATGTGCCAGGATAACTGAAGCAGCTCCTGATCGTAAACAGAAAGCAGAGTTTGGATCAATGTTGGCCAAAAGTACCATTTAATATGGAACATATTGATTTGTCCATGGCCAAAATAGGATATGAAAAATGAACCAGCTTGTACAAGAACGTCTTCAGAAGCACATCAATTGAATTCAAATGGAGCAAGCATACTGCGAAGTTAAAAACGTTCTAAAATCTACTATAATTGTACAATATTTGAAAATCAAAATCTAATTTATTACCAGAAGTGCATTAAAAGTATAAAAAAAAAAAAGGTCATTACAAAGAGGTTAGACCATTTTGCAAGATGTAAACAACACTGGTCTGTTTTCTAACCTGTTTTCTTTATGTCACATGTAAAGAAAACATCTTAAAGATGTTTGTTTAACTTTTTGATTCAGTTTTATATGTTCTGTTGGTTGTATTTTATCCCAGCTTTTATGTAGTGTTAAAAAACTGAAACAGGAAGTGCTTCTGGACCAGTGTTGTTTACATCTTGCAAAATGGTTGTGTGCCGCTTTGTACAGATGGTCATATGTTCTTGCTTCCATTGCTTTTTGGTTCATTTCCAACCATGCTGGAGAACATGACCATCAGGTTTCTCACAAACCTGTGGAGTTTATGCAGCTCGAGAGACATACCAAATACATGGCATTCTGAAAAGTATAAAAAAATGCTCTTCATATTATTATCCTGATAAAATCTTTAATAATAAAAATAAATAATGAAATAGAAGCACTTTCACAAATGATCTTAACCAACATATCGGTCTGTTAAAAAATTAAAGAATTACTGCCGATTTTTTTTTTTTTTTTTTTTTTTTTTATGTACAGATGGTATGACACCTTTACAGCGGTCTGCACTGTGCTAAAATTTAACACATTTTACAGGTTAAATAAATAACATTACTAAAACTATCAACCTTCCCGGAAAAAAAAGAAACACAGTCACTCTATTTTGGATTAACAATTTGAACTATGTAATTCATGTTCTATTTATTAAAAACAAATATATTCTCATCAAGTTCGTGTCTTTTAAGCATTTTTACATTTGGTCCAAAATAATGGCCCAGTTCCACAGACAGAGCTTAGATTAAGCCAGGATTAGGCCTTAGTTCCATTAAGGCATTTAAGTAACTTTTATAAATGTGCCTTTACTGGCGTGCTTCTTCTTGAGAGAAAACAATGACACTGACATATTTTAAGATACGTCAGTGCAAGTTGATTTCAGTTAAACCAGCTCAAACATGCCTTTTATTCTGGGACTAGCTTAAGACTTGTCTGTGAAACTGGGGGAATAACTAAAAGAATGCAGCACCAAATTTCAGATTAAATCTATTTTATTTGGCAACTAATGTTTAGCTGTTCTTATTAATAGTTATAATAACTTGTTTTCAGACCATCAGTCATCAAGGTCTAGACTTAGACTATAGACTTTTTGTTGTCACGTTTTGTAATATTTGCATTGTTTTATTTTTGAGCTTTGGATTATTTTTCTCATAATCAACCCTGTACCTTTATTTACCAGACTGTAGCCTAGACCCAATTAAATAAGGTGCTACAGAAAATTTGTTAATATAAAAACTTGCATATGAAGGAAGTGGATGGATGAAGCTTACAGTACATGAATCAGCGTAGTATTACTTTAATGGTGTCAGTCCACAGAAACCAGCAGCATCACAGTGGTCCTATCCATGACAACCTGGAACACACAAAACAAACGCTGGATAGTTGTTTATTTAGTCAATATATGCAATATGTGTTCTATATGGAGTTTAAAAACAGCAAAGGTTCTCCCTAAACTGTTAGTTCAAGAATAAATTACAGCATTTTGAGATTTTCAGTAAAGGTGATGATGAATGAGGTCACATGAGAGACACCTACTGGACTGCACTGGCTTTGTTTGTTCATGCATACGCCCATGTGATAACTAATTTTTTTTTAGCAATTCTAATAGGCACATGAAAAACAACTTAAATAAAGATAAACGATTACATAGCTGTGATTTCTCATAAAACAGAATGTCTCTTATTTTACAGAAGATCTGGGCTGACAGTTCTCTTGATAGTAGAACAGCCATAGTTTAAGAAAAAAATCACTTAATTTCACAAACAGTCCAAGCTAATAAAAATAACTCATTTAAACGTGTTTCTATTTTTAGGGTGTTTCTGTTCTATTTATGTATATCATATAGTCACTGTTAGTAAACATGTCCTGACAGTGGTTCATGATGAGTGTTGCCCACGAGGATGATACACAGCTGAGTAAAGATCAAAAGCACAACCTGCGAAACGGAATATGACATCGGATTAACTAATCAAAATAACACTTACTGATTTTCTCACACGAAAATGTCTTTGTTGGGTGTCGAGGGTTTGGCGTTGGTTTCAAAGATCGAAAGATAGGAGCTCTTCCTGGACTGTGATTGTACGGAAGCCGCAAAGCTTTTTTCATCGGGCAGCGCCACTGAACTGAAGTGTCAAAATTGCACGAGTGCGGTCTAAATGTGTGAAAACATTAATAAAATAAAAACTAAAGTAAATAAAATCTAATTAATTAATTAAAATAAAATTGACAACTACATGACCCTATTATGAAAGATTCGATACGTTTGGTGAACTATTAACATAAAATTAACCTAACATGAAAAATCCAAAATCGCATGTTTTAAAAGCACCAAAAAAAAAAATATCCACTGAAAATATACATTTATCAATAACTAAACCAGCATTTCGTCCCAAACTAGAAGTCTACTCAGTTTTAAACAGTGTAGTAAGAAAAATGATTGCAAAAAATCACACAATGAGATTGATGATATGTTTTGAAGAATAAAGGAGAAAATATTTAAATTCCGTTATAACACTAAATGCTGATGAAGGTGAAAATGAACAGAATATATTTTATTTTATAAAAGCATACATTAGTAAAAATTATTATCATGTTGAGGACAAGATCAAGCTCAATGAGTTTACTGACTTTTATTTTGAAGCATTTCCTGCCGTCAGTCTGCTTTGTTCAGTAGCTTCCTGCAACACTTGAAATTGACAGCGTCCGCATTAATAAGCATTCTGAAGGGCTGGACAGTGAGACCTATGCGTGAGACACGGTGTGTTTTAATAAAATGAATGCTCGTGTGAAAGTCAGCGGAAGGGAGCCGATATCACTAGCGTCCAGATGTGTCGAGGCTGCGCTCGAGACGGCGCTGCGCAGGGCATTTGAGGTGGCGCTTGAGATCGCGATCAATGAGTTCAGCAGACTTCTGGAGAATAGCGAGAAACAGCGGGAGAACAACCATCTCACATTACCAACACAGCATCTCGAGCATGGGGAATCAAATCAGAGCAGCTCTTACAGTTTGCGAGAAGATACACCGCAGAAACACGATGAAGTACATGCATATGTGGATGAGAGTGAAGGGCTGGTGAAAGGATCTTTTCACGAAATCTCTCATGATGGTCGTGTACGATCACATGAAATTAACACATCGCCTATACACGGTGCGTTTAACTTGAGTAGCCTCAAAATGAAAAACAGAAATCATGTGATTAGAAACTGGGAGTAATATCAGTTGACAACAAAGCCACATTTAGACCCTTTTCAGCATGATGAAAAGTCAAGAGACGAGAGTGAAGTTCATTTCTCTTGTGCTCATCAAGCCAGATTTTTATTTAAATCAAAAATACATTGTTTTACACTTTAAAATTATCGTTTTCTATTTTAATATATTCTGTGATTCAAAGCTGAATTTTCAGCATCATTACTCCAGTCTTTTTTTATGTTAAATACAATTCTTACCATTACTTAAAAATTGGACGAATATTTCAAATAACTGTTTTTGATTAAAAAAAATTCAGGCTTGATGAGAATAAGAGACTTCTTTAAAAAAAAAAAAAAAAAAAAAAAACTTTAAAATAGTAATGTTTCCAAACTTTTGATCTTTTCTATATACATAAATACATATTTTTTTGTCTTTACTTTTGTCGTCACTTATGTCTTCACAGAGCAAGATACATCAGACCAAAAGGAGCTCAGCATAGAACTCATACAAGATGTAAATCCAAGCGATCAAGGCGTATCATTTCATCCTGCAATTGAGCAAGTTAAGGTGAAAAGTGAGAAGTCCGATCCAGAGGAACTTGCACTGAATGACAGCTCTGGATGTGGTTCTCCTTATTCCAGTCCAGACTATAGTTTTGACTCAACTTGTAATGAGGAGTTTGTGCTCAACAGAATGACTTTAGTTCCGCCAAAACTGCTAGAAGACTGGAAGCCTGCTCCGGAGAAGTCACAGAACAAGACCGAACCTTTGGATCAAGAACCCAGCAACAGTCACGGTAATGGTTTATCAATAAAATTGTTCCGCTGTGCTGAAATCATGTCAGTGATTTATGTGTTATTTCCTCAGGCTCCTCAAAAATCAATTTGCCATCCGGTGGCTGCATCTCTCTAGTCTCTAACCCGTTTCACGATCTCTACCTATCAGAAGACGACAGGACATCCCTCACGCAGCCAACGCAAAACTGTAATGAGCAGGTGAGGACAGACATCCGTCCCAGCCTGTATATGTGTAAATTATGTAGCTGTGGATCACACAGTTCAAATAATCTCTGTTATCATCCCGTTCAGAATCACAGAACCATATTAGTGAATGTGGAAGAAGGCACTGTCGCAACCCGGCCGAGAAAGCAACAGCTTTTCCCTCCAGGGTGCAGCCCGTATCACTGCAGCATGTGCAGCCGAGACTTCAATCGCCTGGAGAACCTGAAGACTCATTTAAGGATACACACTGGTGAGCGTCCGTACAGTTGTTCATTGTGCGGGGTCCGGTTTCGGCACTCGGGGGCGCTGACACGGCACTTCCGCATTCACACGGGGGAGAAGCCGTATGTGTGTGAAGAGTGTGGGAAGAGTTTTAGAAACTGTGGAGGTCTGCGCTACCACCAGAAATCACACCATCCATGTACTGTCTTTGAAACATCACGCGCATAAAATGATTTCGTTGGTCAGTTTTGATAGAAATCTTGTTGGCGTGTTCAGTCAGGTTTGAGGTTCTCAACAACTCGGAACCATCTGTAGGGGAGAGCCTGGCTAGGTGTAACACACATGGTTTAAAAGTTTCCACACATGCTAGCATGTTGAAACTTATTGTAATTAGCAGTTGCCACAAAAAATTGCTCTAAAATACAGTCAAATCTGATATTATTTTAATCTTAAAGGGTTAGTTCACCCAAAAATGAAAATTAAGTCATTAATTACTCACCCCCATGCTGTACCAACCCCGTAAGACCTTCGTTCATCTTCGGAACACAAATGAAGATATTTTTGATTAAATTTGAGAGCTGTCTCACTACCTCACTTTACACAAACTGAGAAAGTCAAAAAGTGTTAGGTTGTGCCCTGCTCTCCCCTAGTTCTTCAGTTGAACCTTGCTGGGAATTTGATATTTTTAAGCCTTAGACCGTGAAACATCAACAGCTAATAAAGTTGTGTGTTTGTGTGAAAACGTTGTTATTGTTTTATCTGGATTTTGAAATGTGATCTGATCTTTGTCTAAATAACGTGAACACCTTGATAACCATGAACTGCACTGTATTTGAAAGGCCCAATTAGAAATGTGATGATATTACAACTAGGCTGAGTAAATTTTTAGGCGTGTAATTATTAAATATGCATTTGAAACATTTAGTTGTCCAAAGTCATTTTGAATCAAAATGTTCAAATAATCATACGAATCCTCATTTATCATTTATTTTTTATCTTTTAACATTTAAAATTGTGTTTGATAAATATTAATGCAAAAAAATGTTTTATTGAAATAACATTATTAAAATATTGAACATACACTCTTGTTCAAAAGTTTGGGGTCGGTAAGATTTTTGAAAAATAAATTAATACTTTTTATTTGAATGCATTAAATTGATCAAAAGTGATAGTAAAGACATTTGTAATGTTAGAAAAGATTTTTGTATAAAATAAATGCTGTTCTTTTGAATTTTCTTAAAAGAATTATCATGGTTTTCACAATCCTGATATTAATAAGAAATATGTATTGAGCACCAAATCAGCACATCAGAATGTGACACTGAAGACTTGAGAAGACACTGAAGGGTACTGGACATTCAGCTTTAAATCACAGGAATAAATCACATTTTTAAATTTAAATAACATTTTATAATATTGCTGTTTTTTCTTATTATCAAATAAATGCAGCTGTGGTGTGTATAAGAGGCATCTTTTAAAAATCATATACCAGAGGAAAATGTGGTAAAGAAATATTGAACATTTGAAATATTAGTGACAGGAATCTGCTATCCTGTTAAGTCACATGTAAGCCTTCCTCTCCTCCTCTGTGCCTTTTTTAACTCAGATCTTCCTTCCATTCATCCCCACAATCCAAAATAGACTGGAACTACCATCACACCCACCAGTAAAAAGCTGCTGGGTCATGACATAGAAGAGGAACCAGAGTAGAGAACACATCTTATTTTAGTTATGCTTTCAACCTGTCCAAATGCTCACAATTCTTATGAATTCAGTGGTCAGAAGGTCACTGGCAGTGTTTTTTAGGGTAACGTATATCAACTAACATGAGTTATGTGGTCAGATTACTTTTTTCAAGTAATGAGTAAAGTAATGCATTACTTTTAAATATCACAGATATATATATATATATATATATATATATACTCACACACACACGCAAGGTTACTTTGTGTTGGAAGGTTACTTTGGAAATATAGGTCACAGATTACAAGTTACTTAAAATGTAAATAGTGTACCGATTTCAATTTCCTTATTAAAGTAACGTAACGGGTTACATTGCATTACTTTTTGATTACTTTTCCAGCACTGGTACTCATTTTTATCACTTGCCATAGTGGCAACTCTTAGACATTAGAAAGCACCAATGTGGATTGATGTAATCGTGTCATCGGCAAACGTGGTGAGCTGCAAAATCAAACGAGAAATAACCAAAAGCATCGTTTAGCATCGCTTTACTAAACAGCCTTTAAATGGCAGGAGGCATTGTGCAAATCAAAAACATGCAAAGCAACAAATTAATACTATTCAACATATCCTGATTTTTTACTGAAAATATTCAGATGTAATGTATAAGTAACTGTAATTACACCTTTTAATTACACCTTTTTTCTCAGTAACTGTCCCTGATTGCAGTTACATTTATTTATTAATTAAATTACGTAACTCAGTTACATGTAACTAGTTACTTCCCAACACTGGATATACTGTATATATATATAAAGAGTTCAGATGCAAAAGCCTCTAAGTGCCATTTGAAATTATCAAGCTTGTATATTTAAGTTCAGTGATTTCACTTAAATGGCATGATAATTACCTATTAATTGTTATTTAAGTGAAATTACTTAGCTTAAATATACACGTTTGATAAAAATCATCATAAAAGAAGAAAATTTCAAATGGGTAAAGGCTTTTGCATCTGAACTCTTCATATATATACAGTATATCCAGTGTTTGGAAGTCAAACGATTAATCAAATGATTAATCGCGATTAATTGCATCCAAAATAAAAGTTTGGGTTTTCATAATATGTGGGTGGGTGAACTGTGTATAATTATTTTGTATATATATAAATACACAGACATGCATGTATATTTAAGAAAAAAATATTATTTTATATGTAAAATATTTATATTTATATATAATATAAATTATACATAAATCTATATACAGTATATACATGAAAATATTTCTTAAATATACATTGTTTCGTTTGACAGCCCTAATATATATATAATATATATATGTATGTATTGGGAAAAAAACTGAATTCGAGTTCTCAGTCCCAAAGATGAGAAGGACCATCCAGACTTTCATGACAGGTTTAAAAGTAAACCTCTGTCACGGTATGTGGATGCATCCATGTAAATGGCATGAGTGACTTGCATATGTGTCAAGGTATTGATATGGCGTATATTATACTATATGCAGTACATACTGTATATGACAACTATGAGATAAATCGGGAATGAGGTGCAGAGGTGGTGTGCGCTGTGTAAACATGATGCTGTACTTTAAGACTAAATGTGAGCATCTTACTTGCACAGAAACAGATGAACTATTCCTCAAAATGCTTAAAAACAGTAACTCAGAATATTACGAAAACCTGCAATAATTAAATTGCACAAATATACTTTATGTATTTAATCTTATTTTACTAATCAGTGTCTTTGCTGCTGACCTTCAATAATCCAATTAACCATCCCAACAGCAAAAAAAATGACTTTAGATACACATCACATTAGCAGCTCTTCTTCAGCACGGCTGACATATTTGTTTCAGCTCTACCCCCTTTGCTCTACAGGCATGAATTTTAATTTCCTTCAGCCTGAGGCTTATTATTCATATCACTTTTGGTGTGAAAGGGCCTTTACATTATCCAAAAATGAAACTTAATATTATTTTTTTTTAAGTATCTAAGTAGTGCAATTAGTTACTTGTTTAGAAAGTAACATAATATTATAACGCATTACAATTAGTTAATTAACGCATTTAAAAGTAACTTTCCCCAAAACTGGTCAGACTGGTTCCAGACTGAGTTTGGCTTAAAAATCCTTTACCCGGATTTGAGAGGAATGCCATACTGTCTGTGCTTTAGACCGAGAGAGCTTTCTAGATCAGACCTCTGACTGAACTGCTGGTGAGATATTGTGGGAGTACCAGGTAGAAAGGTAAAAGATGTGTATGCGCATTTATTTAGTTAATTCACTTTTATTTAACGCAGTGCAGATTTTCTCAGTTTGTGAGTGCCTGCGCAATTTTGTAAAAAAGGCTGTAGATTTTATTATGAATTTAAACATATTGTGTACGTATTGTGCTGCAGAATGTAAACGGTGGTGCCCTTGGCACCTTTATGAAATCAGTTTAGACACTGGCTTGAGACTATAGTTGTCTCAGTGTGATTCATGGCCTGGACATCTGACGCTACAGACAATAAAAGTGTCACACAGTTATTCTCACTTATTTCAGACTGACTGCTAAACTCAATGAACACTTCTGAATTCTGCCAGCTTACAGCAGGTCCACCTGTCACAATCTGAATGTTGGTCTTTCATAACCAATTTCAGTTTTCCTTTTTAATAGCACGCACCCTACAAAATACATTTCCAGTTTCCTATGTATGTTATTATTTCAATTTTACATAGAGAGAGAAAAAAAATATGTAATGCATATTGGTATCTTAAAGGTACATACATACTATTTTGCTACTTTACATTTGAGGTAATAATACATAGTACACATGTACCCATTAAAATGGAGCCACCATAGTGACATCTTTTATACCATTTTGTGTGAATGGTGTGATGCTGATATTTTGAGATCTTGTGATTAAAAGAAATGGCTCTTTGCATAATTTGCACATGCTAATGAACATTGCAGTTTTACTTTTATTGTCATTCAACGAGATTTCTTTTCTGTGCACGTATAGTGACAGAACAGCATGTTAAATACTGATTTCGCTGTAATTTTACTGTCAAACACATGTAAGTGCGAGCAGACTGTGTGAGAAAGTGCACTGAACGCCTGCTGTAGTCTGTTGTTGTCTTTATATCAGACAGCAGGAGGCCCGTCTGCCCTTCAGCTTCAGCACAAATCGTACATGTTTTTAGCTTCATGAATAAAACATTTGCTCTTGCAATGCAGTCATTAATCACACGTTATATCCATCTGAACATAAGAGGTTATGTCTATTCCTGAATCAGTGACAGGTTTCCATATTAACCAAAGCATATTTTTATGTTTGGAAAGCACTCAAAGTGTGCATCAATTGCCTTGGTACTGTAAGAATTCGTTACCATGAGCGTCAAATGTTATTCGTTCCAATAATCATAATTTGTCCCTGGTTCTCAAATGGTATTTGTCCAACTTTAAAATCTAGCAAACAGTGAGCCTTGGGATACTTCAACAAAAAGTTAAAAAGTGTTGTCATTTTCCTCATTCTCATGTAATTTTACATTCACACTGTAATCATTTACTTTGTCGGGCAAAAAAAATGACATTTTGAAAAATGTTCATGCTGTCATTTTTGATGCAGTGAAAGTTGATGGGGACATGCACCTAAAAGTATGTCTTTGTGTGAGGAACATACTGAAATATCAGTATAAGTTGAAACTATTGTTTGCCAGCCATGGTCAGCATTCATTTATGTTCAGACAGGATAAATGTGATACTTTGGTAAATTCCAGCTGAACTGAGGTAAATAAATTATTACATATTCATATAGTATATTATGGGTTTCTGAACAAACTGAAATTGGTGGCCATATTTTCTGTATCAAAACATTCTGTCTGACCAGTCTTTAAAAGTTTGGCAGTTTTCAATCCAAAATGACAGAAATGATAGAAATGTAACTTTAAAAAAAAAAAAGTCCTCGACGTTTAGAATTTTAATTAAATCAAACCAAAAATAAAGATTCTATCTCTGTTACTAATATCATCAAACATTAACAAACTGACACCAACCAACAAATTCTGTTCAGAAATGTTCTTTATTGTCAACCACATTTCAAAGATCCCTTATATAGCACAATGTTTTGCATTGCAATTTTTGAAGCGTAGCCTAATCACTTTATAAATACAAATCAACTGAGTTTCATTATATTGGTGTGTGATTATACTTTGAGGGGTATAATGGAAGTATCAACAAATAAAAAAAGTTCCTGCTGTTTTATTTGATGGCTTCGTGAATGAGTTTTGAGCGTGTCTGTACGTGTCATTGTGCTTTCTGTTTCTCCCACTGCTCTGGTGTCAACGTTTTCTGCTCGAATGCATGGATCTCTTTCAGCTCCTCGGCAAGGCAATTATTCACCAGCCTAACAACAAACATAAACACAGACATTTATAAAAACATCACATGAGGTCAGTAAGTCTATTGATCCCAGCATGCCTGTTCCTCACAGCTTGCCTTCACAGATCCATCCTCTCTAAAGACAATACTCTTCCACATGACTTGGTCCTGTAAAAAGATCCAGATCATTCTGCTAAGCCTGCACATCTGCGTCCGTGTCTGAGGCACTCTCAGACAGCTGAGACACATGACCTTTCGACAACACTCTCCACTGACAGCATCATTGATTCCATCAAACCATTTTTATTTCCATTTTCAGGTGCCCCGTACTTGGCTGAAACAGCATGCCAATTGTTTTCTCCACTACTGATATGAAATGCAACCTGCTTGCCGCATATCAATAAAACATAATAAATTGAGTGATTAAATAACAAGGGCCACACTTATTTGTTAATATTATCAACAAATGTCACTGTAAATAACTTAAAGTTAAAGCTGCAGTAAGTAATTTTTGAGGAACACCGTTTAAAGTGTATCGAACCGAGCACCACAATGCACTTGGGAGGAGAGTGAGCAAGAGGGAGATTTGGAGAAAGACTGTAGAAAGAGAGAGAGCTGAGAGACATTACAAAAGAAAAAAAGGTCACTGGGAAATGAAAGGTTATGATCAGGTTAGAGCTTTAGGACCAGCGTTAAAGGAGAACTCCGGGAAACAATGAGCCTTTGTTCTAATAAAACATCGGTACCTAGTCAATCGTTCTCTGAGATTTGTTTTCATGATAATCGAATGTAAAGAGTTTTATTTCTAAAAACTGTTTAGCACTTAATGCTAGTAATGGGGGCATTTACTAAGTAAAAAGAAATGGCTAGTTAATACCACTAACAAGCCTCAAAATAGCTCAACACTAACACTGTAACATAATGAGGGTCCATACATGCAAAACGAAGCATTGAGAACTTTGTAAGTGTACAGACCGTTTAATAAGAAGATACTTTATAAAGACAGTTCACTGCGTGTATACAGACAGGAGCTATCTTAGAAAATAGTCTCGATAAGTCGATCCCCGAACGCCGTCCATACAGTTTAGAAGTTCGCTGATCTTCATACAGTTCAGATCACTCAGCACTACGTTCATGGTTTGACTTGTCGTGACTCTTTTCCAAGATGGCTCCTGTCTGTGCATAGTAGTCCATAGGCTTCTTGAGGAATTGAAATTTGCTGGCCTCGAAAAGTTATTACATACATCTTTAAAATAGTCCAAGTGACTTCAGTGGCTCAATCTTAACTTTATCAAATGATGAGAACACTTTTTGTGCGCAAAAACAAAGAAAAATAACGATTTTATTTCAACTATTCACTTCCTTCTCTATGTGCCCCTAGTCAGTTAACGTAGTGTGATAGCGTAGAGCTACGTCACACGTAGGCTCACTATTGGCCGACGCTGGTCATGTGTGTGATGCGTGTGACGTACAACAACAGATCATACGCTATTAAACTAGTAATCTGACTCGAGGCAGAGAGAGAAGTAAATAAATAGTTGAAATAATGTCTTTATTTTTGTTGTTTTTTGCACACAAAAAGTGTTCTCGTCGATTGATAAAGTTAAGATTGAGCCACTGAAGTCACTTGGACTATTTTAACGATGTGTTACAGCCCTCAATCCAGTTCAGCTCGTTATAAATTCTCACATAGATAAAAGACCGAACATATAGGAATCACAGACGATTTAGCGTTTCTGGCGTTAACACACCATATTTTTAATTAGACAGGCCTTGAGAGTTGAGTGGACAATAAATCATAAATTCAGCAAAATAAAGATAACACAGGTAGGGCCCATAAAGGGAAAACAGATACCCTTACTAACCCTATACTTCAGTCAGGAGAGATCTTACCTGGCTCCCGAAAAGAAATAAAACGGGTGAGTCTTCCGGGCAGCTGCTTCCCTTCACTAAACTAAATAAATAATAAAAAGTGTACAAAGGAAAATAAAGCCACTACCTGGTTTAAACAAATAAACTAGAATCAAAAGAAAACAATCATTCGCCTCGCTCCCGCATGGCGAGACGACAACCCACAGGTGATCACCCCAGCTGGTAATTAGGCGGAGAGAAGAGGAGAGCGGGCTGTGAGAGAGCAGTGAGAGAGAGAGACGTGACATCAGAACCGGCACCGCTTAAATAGCAGGAACTCCCGTGACGTCACTTTGCTTTCCGCTGTACAACTCTACCTCGCCATCTGTAACTCAAAAGAAATAGCACACACACTAATCGCTCAATAGTACACCCACACACACATAACACCCTCACCCTTAAATGATTAATTGTAGGGATGAAATCAGCTTACCTCAGAACAACCTACAATTAATTCAAGTACGAGACAAAGCGTCAGCAATCACGTTATCCTTACCCCGAATGTGACGAATGTCCAACTCAAAAGTCTGTAAAAACAAACTCCAACGCATCAGTCGTTGATTATTGTTTTTCATTCGACTAATAAAAGTCAAGGGATTGTGATCCGTGTAAACAATCAGTGGGTGCGTAACAGAAGCAATGTAAACATCAAAATGTTGAATGGCAAGGACAAGGGCGAGCGCCTCCTTCTCAATAGTGGAGTAACCTCGCTGATGTTTATTAAATTTGCGTGAAAAGTAGCAAACAGGATGCTCAACACCAGCCTGATCTAGTTGAAGGAGTACAGCTCCAGCACCAGTGTCACTTGCATCAACAGCAAGAAAAAACGGAGTAGAAAAGTCAGGAGCTGACAAAACAGGAGAAGAAACCAAAAGTGCTTTGATTTTCTCAAAACTCAACTGACAAGTCTCGGTCCATTTAAACGCAACTTTTGGACTAAGTAGGTCGGTTAAAGGAGAAGCGACGACAGAAAAATTTTTGCAAAAACTTCTGTAGTATCCGACCATTCCTAAAAATCGACGGAGCTCCCGACGCGTGGTGGGCATGGGAAAATTGGTGATAGCCTCCACCTTAGACTCAACAGGTCGAACCTGACCGCTACCGACGATTTTTCCCAGATAGGTGACCGTGGCGCGACCAAATTCGCACTTCACTAAATTCACTGTGAGGTTAGCTCGAGACAAACGACTGAACAGCTCCTCGAGTTGCTCCACATGTTCTGACCAAGACGCGCTGTAAATGACTAAGTCATCCAAATACGCTTCAACATTATGCATACCTTTGATGACACGATTAACCAATCTCTGAAAGGTTGCCGGAGCGTTTCGTAAGCCGAAAGCCATTACTTTGTAATGTAGGAAATGATCTGGTGTTACGAACGCACTAATCTCTTTTGCGCGATCTGACAAAGGCACCTGCCAGTAACCTTTAAGCAGATCGATTTTAGTGACGAACGCAGCATTTCCAACATGATCCACGCAATCTTCCATACGCGGCAATGGATAACTATCGGGTTTCGTTACAGCATTAACGCGTCTAAAATCAGTACAAAAACGAAATGTACCGTCAGTCTTTTTGACCAACAAGCAGGGGGAGCTCCAAGGACTAAAACTGGGCTCGGCGATATCATTTTCGAGCATAAAGTTTACCTCGTGTTGCAGCTGAGTTCTCTTTTCAGGGCTCACACGATATGCGTGTTGTTTAATAGGCAACGAATTGCCAACGTCGATATCATGCTCTATTAATGAGGTACACGAGGGAACATCAGAGAACAAATTCTCATACTTCCGAATAATACTAATCACATCAGCTCGTTCAGTTACAGTTAAATGTGAAAAATGCGAGTCCAAAGTTCGAATTATCGAAGAATTCTTCAACCTTCCCGCAACCAGTTCTGCAGCAGGAAACTCAACATCCCCTTCACAAGTGGCAACAGCAACGTTGTCCGATAAAGGACACTCTGGGCGGATGAAAGATTCAGCACTGGACAGCACCCCATCCTCAGGTACATCAGCACTGGACAGCACCGGTCCCTCGGTCACCGGAAAGTCTGTAGGTAAAACAGTCAACACAGCCGACTTCCTACCAGACCATTCTGGCGGTCTTTCGAAGTACGGTTTAAGCATGTTAATATGACAAAGACGAGTTTTCTTTCTTCGGTCATTCGTCGAGATAACATAATCAAGCTCACTCACCTTTTCTTTGACTGGGTAAGGACCATAATAACGAGCTTGCAATGCAGACCCAGGCACTGGCATCAGCACTAACACCTTGTCGCCAGGAGCAAAGCTACGAAGTTTAGCACAACGATCATAACGTTTTTTCATTCGTCGCTGAGAAATCTCCAAATTCTCTTTGGCCAACTCACATGCACGACGCAACTTGAAACGAAATCCTGAAACATAGTCAAGAATGTTAGGAGTTGGGTCACTAGTCCAATGATCTTTAATCACTTTAAGTGGACCACGGACAGTATGCCCGAACACCAGTTCAGCCGGACTAAAGCCCAACGACTCCTGCACAACCTCTCGCACGGCGAACATAACCATGGGTACCCCGTCGTCCCAATCCTTCTGAAACTCAAGACAGAACGCGCGCAACATTGACTTTAAAGTCTGATGGAACCTTTCAAGTGCGCCCTGGCTTTCAGGATGGTAACAACTTGACGTACGATGTTGTATATGCAACTGCTCCAGAGCTTGTTTAAACACACGTGACATAAAATTCGTACCTTGGTCCGATTGAATAGTACGCGGAAGACCAAACAGTGAGAAAAACTTTACAAGAGATTTCACAATCACTGGTGCAGTAATTTTACGCAGAGGGATTGCCTCTGGAAAACGTGTTGACGAGCACATTATGGTCAGCAAGTATTGATTTCCTGACTTAGTACGAGGCAAAGGACCGACACAGTCAATCATCACCCGCTCAAATGGTTCACTAAAAGCAGGAATTGGATGTAATGGAGCGGGTGGGATATTCTGGTTCGGTTTTCCCGTCATTTGGCACACATGACAACTTCGGCAATAACTCGCAACATCGGTTTTCAAACCAGGCCAGAAAAAATTACGGAGGATACGGTCGTATGTTTTATTCACTCCTAAATGACCGGCAAACGGGCTATCATGCGCAAGGCTCAAAATCTCAGAGCGGTACGAGGAGGGAACTATTATCTGCTTGACGACTTGCCACTCATCATCAGCAGATGCAGTAGGTGGTCTCCACTTCCTCATCAACACCCCATCTTCAACAAAGTAACCTTGCGATACCTGTTCGAGTTGCTCCACAGGAACAACAGCTTCAAAGAGGGATGACGTTTTCTCATCTTTCCTCTGTTCAACAATAAGCTGCTCGCGAGACAGAGACAATCCATTGAGCCCCATAGAGTGTTCATCTCGCTTATTAACGGCGAGGTCTAAACCGTCAACAAAGTCTGAACACTTAACCTGACAAAAATCTGCATTAGAGAGGAACGTATCACTCAAATCAAAATTCCACTCACTTTCTGATTCACAAAGATTTTTATCTTTCAGTCTCTGGGTCATAGCGCGAGTAACAGCACATGAGGGGAAAACCTCAGGATATGTCTGAGCTAATGCATCAATAGAAGTACCAGGTAGAGGAACATCAGTTACCTCAGGGCTAGCAAAAACTTTTCCTCCCGCTAAGTCATTTCCTAAAATAAATGTGACATCTCGAACAGGAAGACACGGTCGCACTCCAACCACAACGCGGCCAACAACAAGGGAAGACTCAATTTCAATCTCATGCAAAGGTACCTTCACAAAGCCCATTTCAAAACCCTGTACCAAGACGCTTGAACCAATAAAGCTCTCATCAGACAACGGCAATACTCCCTCCAGAATAAAACTCTGAGCAGCGCCTGTATCACGAAGTATCTTGACTGGTTTACGTAAATCATCTTTACCTGCCAAAGATACGAATCCGTCCATCATGAACGGCACATATCCCTCATCTTTCCACATGTCAGCATCAGAAGCCAACGACTGCAGTCCTTCCACCTGTGACGAGGACGTCATCAACAGACCTACTGGTTTAGGAACATTATTCTTCTTTTTGAGCACATTACACTCAGAAATAATGTGTCCACGTTTCTTACAATAAAAACAAACAGGTGAGAACACGGATTTATCAGAACTCACCGCCACTTTGTCGACAGGCAGAGGGCGTTCCAAGTTACGCTGAGAAGACCGATGACTGTTAACTGATGGAATCTTTGGTGTTACGCTAAACACATTTTTATGTGTAAGCACATATTCATCAGCCAACGCGGCAGCAGCGGAACATTTCAAAACTTTTTGCTCATTTAGATAAGTTACAACGCGTTCGGGTAAGCAGTTTTTAAATTCCTCTAAAATAATCAGTTCACGGAGCTCTTCGAAAGTTTTCACTTTCATAGAAACGCACCAACGATCAAACATTGACTCCTTCTCCCGAACGAACTCAACGTAAGTCTCATTAGTTTTCCGAAGGTTACGAAATTTCTGACGATAAGCTTCGGGAACCAGCTCATACACTCTAAGAACGGACACCTTCACCTGATCGTAATCAAGACTCTCCTCAACTGATAAAGAAGAAAAAGCTTCTTGGGCTTTACCCACAAAAACACACTGCAACAACATGGGCCAAAATGTTTTCGGCCATTTCATATTGTTAGCAACGCGTTCAAAAAGAGCAAAAAACTTATCTACCTCTTGCTCTCGAAACTGAGGAACCATACGAATATTACGACTCACGTCGAAATCAGAAGTATCTGTTAAACCTCTTTCACGAGATTTCAGCTCCATTTCTTTCAGGCGGCACGCTTGCTCCATTTCTAACCTTTTCAACTCAAGTTCATGTCTCTCACGATTCATTTGTCTCTCTTTCTCACGCTCCCATTCTTCTCTCTCCCTCAACAAAACTCTGTCGTGCTCCTTAGCTTGCAGCTCCAATTTCTTAATCTGCAATGCAAGATCCTCTGAACCACCCTCAACTGAATCAGGATAATCCATCATCTTTTCCTCATCACCAAAAACGCCCAATTCATGCAATGAATCAAGAAGCAATATCTGTAACTCACGTTTAGTTATAGTTTTACGGAAACCAACCTTAAAGTGAGCAGCAATTTTCGTAAGATCTACCCTGTTGATTTTGAACAGCTCATCTTGCGTCGGATCTGCAATAAAGTTAGTTAATTCGAACATGGTCAGATCTAACGTTTGGGTTAAGAGAGGAAACAAAAAACGAGCACTACACGAGTCAAAAAAAAATTCACGCCAATCGACTGTGATTATACAAAGTTACCGAAGTAACAACTACAAAGTGTGAGCAGATTAAACAAAGCCACACAAAATTCGTTCATCGATCCCGGACGAGCCCCCAAATATGTTACAGCCCTCAATCCAGTTCAGCTCGTTATAAATTCTCACATAGATAAAAGACCGAACATATAGGAATCACAGACGATTTAGCGTTTCTGGCGTTAACACACCATATTTTTAATTAGACAGGCCTTGAGAGTTGAGTGGACAATAAATCATAAATTCAGCAAAATAAAGATAACACAGGTAGGGCCCATAAAGGGAAAACAGATACCCTTACTAACCCTGTACTTCAGTCAGGAGAGATCTTACCTGGCTCCCGAAAAGAAATAAAACGGGTGAGTCTTCCGGGCAGCTGCTTCCCTTCACTAAACTAAATAAATAATAAAAAGTGTACAAAGGAAAATAAAGCCACTACCTGGTTTAAACAAATAAACTAGAATCAAAAGAAAACAATCATTCGCCTCGCTCCCGCATGGCGAGACGACAACCCACAGGTGATCACCCCAGCTGGTAATTAGGCGGAGAGAAGAGGAGAGCGGGCTGTGAGAGAGCAGTGAGAGAGAGACCCGTGACATCAGAACCGGCACCGCTTAAATAGCAGGAACTCCCGTGACGTCACTTTGCTTTCCGCTGTACAACTCTACCTCGCCATCTGTAACTCAAAAGAAATAGCACACACACTAATCGCTCAATAGTACACCCACACACACATAACATATTTAAAGAGCGTGTTAGTAATGTGCTATAAAATGTACTTTTTACACATTTCTTTTTTAGGGCTGAACTATGTAGGTAAAGATTATTGGAGCCAGTTTTACAATAAATTTCAGTCTTTCTAGTTCAAAATGTAACATTTAATTCAACATTCAGCAGGCTATTTCTTTGGAATTATTTGTGAAATTTACTAGAAATGAAAGAGAAATAGTATAGAGTATAGTATATAACTAGAAATAGTTAGAAAGTAAACCTACACTAGTATTTTTTTTTTTTTTTTATCTTGAATAATTCCCACTGTTTGTATGACTAAAAATAATAACTAGGATTTTGTTGTGGTTAAAAATAAAAAAATATTTCACAAAATAAGAAATATATTGTAATAACACTGTGGTTCTGTAAAATAAAATAAAAAAAATATTTTATTTAAAATATAAATAAAATATAAAAAAATATAAATAAAATAAAATATTTTATTTTATTGTAAAATTGAAATAAAAAACTGTCTTAATTTCTAACAGGAACCGATCATTATTTTATTTTGATGGGTTTCCGGCAAATAAAACCATGCGCTGCCGTTGTTCATTTATACACATGCAGCTCTAATAATAATAGCGCATATATTGATTTAATTAAATCATAACTTGCATGATTTAACAAGCGCACTAAGCCATATCTCGATATTATTTCATATTGTTGTCGTATTGTTAGTTTAACTCCTTCTATTCTTTTCATTTGTTTGTCGCTTTGGATAAAAATGCCTGCTAAATGATTAAATGTAAATTTGTACTTTGAAATACTGTGCAGCTTACTGTATTGCAGTGTGTTAATGTGTGTTTGCGTGCAGGGTCAGCTGTCGGATTTCTCCAAGCGGAGTCGCAGTGCAAAGTTTCGCCTCGTGCCCAAATTCAAGAAAGACAAAAACAACAAAAACAAAGAGACGTGCGCCGCCCTCAACATGCCAGGTACGGCCTGAGTGTCCACTAGGGCTGGGTATCCATTCAGATGTTCGCAAGCTCTTAATTCGATTCGATTCTAAATTCTATTTTCCATTTCGATTCCAGATTCGACTCAATGAATATAGGTTTAATATAAATTCTTTATTTATAAAAAAAGAACTGTGAACATAAGTTTACAAGTGGTTAATGAATAAAAAGAAATTAAGAGCCACAAACCTGTATATAAAAAAAAATATTTGTATTTTAGGTACATTAAAACAGAAGACAACTCTATATTTCAAATGCATACAATGAATAGACAGGATTTAAATGCAAGATGTGAGTTGATCAAACAGGATCAGGTTATTTTATGTCTAGAAGATAAAATACATTAGCATTAGCTGTAACATGGAGGCTGTGGAGGGAAACTAATACTGGCTTTTTGGTGATATATGAATAAATATGGGGGGGGAAATCAATTTGTGGCTTTTGAGAATCGATTTTGAATCGACTACATTTTAAAAATATATTTTTTTGCCCAGCCCTAGTGTCCACTTCTCTCTCAGCTCATCTAGTGAGTGTGTGTGTTCTCTGAGCAGTGAACACCTGGGGTGTAGAGGAGGTGGGCGTCTGGCTGGAGGTGCTCTGTCTGTCCGAGTATAAGGAGATCTTCATCAGACACGATATCAGAGGACCAGAACTGCTTCAGCTGGAGAGGAGAGACCTGAAGGTTTGACGAGCTTTACTTGTGCCTTAATCCAGGAGACACAACAAATACATCAATAATCAAGAGAGGATGAAGCTAACTAACAGAACTGAGAGAAGATGAAACTAAAATTTGATGTAAATAACTAATAAAAATATATATACTTGGTTAAAATAAATACATAAATAATTTATAAAAATGATTAAATAATTAAAAAAAATTATAAAAAATTAATTTAATTAAATTATTAAAATAAATATGCAAATAAATTGATTAAATAAATACAACTAGATTTAAATAAATAAATGCCTGATCTCACCAGGGTTATTATCGTTAACTAAAACTAAAACCCTTAAAAGTTAAATACTTAAAAAAAAAAAAAAACATTAACTGAAATAAAGTAAAATTTAACTTAAATGTATTTTATTTCAGCTTGTTGCCAAGTCATTTTCACTTATGGTTTTAAGTTGAAGCACTAACATAACTAAAACTAAATAAACTGAAACTTAATTTAAAAAAAACGCTATATATATATATATATATATATATACTTATTTTAAGAAACAAATGTAATAAAATTACTAAATGAAATTAATGTTGAAAAACTCGTTCAAAATATTAACAAAAACTATAAATAGTATATCAGTGTTACTAAAATAACACTGCATTTAATAGTCCTGTGATATAGTGTGAAATGATGTAATGTAATAGACTCTAAAAAAATCAAATAATATTTTACACGTATTTATAATATTATTAAATCATGTTTTTTTTTTGTATGTTTGTTGTTGCAATAATTTGCTTTTAAGATGCAATTAAAAAAAATTAGGTCACGGCATCCACTGTTATAATCAATATAAATCAATATACAATATATATATTTTGTGTACAACTCAAATGTGTTTGATTTCAGTCCTGGATTACAGACTTAAAGCATGTAATGTTTGTGTGTCAGGACCTGGGCGTGACTAAAGTGGGCCATATGAAGCGGATCCTGCAGGGAATCAGGGATCTGAGTCGAAACAGCACAGCCAGCGAAGCCTAGACGCCCCTCAGCCAATCAGATGCCTCGTCCAGACGTGACCTAGCCTCACCCGGCCAATCAGACGCTCGGTCACCACTGGGACCAGCCATATCGACCAATCACAGTGTGCCTTCTGTTCTCCACCTCTGTGACATCATCGCCTTGGGGAACTCTGCTCGACTACCCACGAGAGAGTGTCGTACCGAAAAACTCAACTCTCACTTGATCTATCAACGTTGACTAACTTTCTCCAACTCGGAAACAACTTCTTATTTCTGCTGATGTCATCAAGGCCTTCGTTCGGTCGGTTTCGTGTGGTCTTGACGCTTCAAAACCCAAGACACAGACGGCTGCCTTCTTAGGGCACGAGAGACTCGCAAAGGATTTCAAGCGCTTAATCCTCCAATGAGTATAAAATACACAACATATGGAAAATACAATATTATTAGTGCTGGGAAATGATTAATTGTGATTAACCGCATCCAAGATAAAAGTTTTACATAATACATGTGTGTGTACTGTGTATAGCTGTTTTGTATATAAATACACACACATATGCATGTAATATTTGCATGTATATACTGTATATATATTTATATAATATAAATATTTTATATATAAATAATAACACATTTTTCTTAAATATATACATGCATATGTGTGTGTATTTATATATACAAAATAATACACACATATGCAAATATAGACACACATGCATGTATATATTTAAGAAATATTTGCATGTATATATAAGTATAATTATTTTTTATATAAATAACACATTTTTCCTAAATATATGCATGCAAATGTGTGTGTATTTATATATACAAAATAATACACAGATATGCATGTATACATTTAAGAAAAATGTGCATGTATATACTGTAGATATATATGTATATAATATATATAAATATTTGTATATAAATAACACATTTTTCTTAAATATATACATGCAAATGTGTGTGTATTTATATATACAAAATAATACACACACATGCATGTATATATTTAAGAAATATTTGCATGTATATACTGAATATATATATTTATATAATATATAAATATAATTATTTTTATATAAATAACACATTTTTCTTAAATATATGCATGCAAATGTGTATTTACAAAATAATACACAGATATGCATGTATACATTTAAGAAATATTTGCATGTATATACTCTAGATATATATGTATATAATATGTAATTATTTTTATATAAATAACACATTTTTCTTAAATATATACATGCAAATGTGTGTGTATTTATATATACAAAATAATACACACATATGCAAATACACACACACATGCATGTATATATTTAAGAAATATTTGCATGTATATATTTATATAATATATAAATATAATTATTTTTATATAAATAACACATTTTTCCTAAATATATGCATGCAAATGTGTATTTACAAAATAATACACAGATATGCATGTATACATTTAAGAAATATTTGCATGTATATACTCTAGATATATATGTATATAATATGTAATTATTTTATATAAATAACACATTTTTCTTAAATATATACATGCAAATGTGTCTGTATTTATATATACAAAATAATACACACATATGCAAATACACACACACACACATGCATGTATATATTTAAAAAAAAATGTTGTAATATATAAATATAAATATTTTGTATATAAATTACAAATTTTTCTTAAATATTTATGCAAATGTTTGTGTTTACATGCGATCAATAGTTTCCCAGCACTAATTATAATTTACTTTTACATTTATACATCAAAAATATGCTTTTATCATAAGCGGCTTACATTGCATTCAAGTTTTAAATGATTTGATCGATGTGCAGGAATACAAAACAGTCTGTTTTAATTGGATTGAACTCTTTTCATTGATTCGCTCCTGTATTGAATGAATCGTATTCTCCACTTCATGATTCACACATGAATTTGGCTTAAAGAAAGTAGTTGAGATCAGTCAGGAGTGCCTTAAAACACTGTATATACAGGCGGATAAGTGGATCAACACACAGGCGAAAAGCATCATGAGGTCTTTAACATGTGGGTGACAATCAACAGAACTGGCCAATCAAGCTCTCTGCTTTGCCCTTATTTACATATCAGCCTGAAATCTCGATCTGTACATTTACAAGAAGTGCTCAAAACACACATTGCTCAGAGTAGCATAAGCCAGACAAGTGAGGATTAAAGGAACGTTTTTTATTTTTAATGATCTATATGATCCTGGAATGATCTGGAAATGCCAACCAGAAAGGAAATGTTTGATAGGCAGATTTCCGTTTTTTAACAAATCCTTCCCTCACGGGTCAAAATAAATAAATAAAATACGATAAAAATACCCCGAAGCCCTAAACTTATTCTTAATTTTTTACGCTTATTTTATTTCATTTTGGTAATATTTTTTTATGGATTTTTTTTTAACCTTTAAATTACTAGATTTAATCAATAAATAGTCATTTAAGCACATTCCTCACAACTTGATTTCAAAATAACTCACAATTTCATGCCTAAACCTTTAAATTCAGCTGTAAATATCTTACACTGGAAGTCTTTGCGACCACTTGTGGGGAAAAATAATAATATAACATGATATTTCATGACTCTAGCTAGCCTCTATTTGGAGCAAACGAGCTGTTCCTCTGGGTCCTAAAGCCAGTTTCTCTTCCGTGTGCATTCAGATACACACATGTAGACATTATAAAATAATCTTTTTGCTAAAGTTTGAGCATTTTTAGCTTTTTCTATGAAGCATTCCTCGCATTCATTCCTATGGGGTCAAATTGACCAGATTTGTGACTTTTTTTTCATTTCAACCACAAAACTCCTCAAATCCATTAAATGTTAAATGTGTATTCGTGGTTCAAGTGCGAAAGAAGACAAATGGCCCTAAGATGAACACCAAATTTAAACAAAAAAAAAAGAAGAAAATTTCGGGTCAAAATGACCCGCGCATATTTCGCAGACTCCCTCCCTGGTCTTTTCCATGAATAGGTGCCTTGTCGTAATACGTCCGTCGTTCACGTCCTCGTAGAGCTCGTAATTACAACTTGTAAACTGGGAATTTCCTGAGAGCTCCGACTTGCACCATGTGATTCATCGATGGCGTTGCCATGAGGGTTTCTTCTAACTAGCCCTGCCCACGGTGAAATCTCATTGGTCAGGTGGAACAAGCATTAAAGTATTTCATGTTTTATTTCACCCTTCTAGACTCATGGAAATAATGACTATTACTGGAAATGGTATAACTCTATGGGCATGTTTTTTTTTTTTTTTTTACCATTTTATCAGAAGTAATTCATGAGAAACTGAAACGGTTGATGTTTAGTTGAACTGGGGATCAAGTTCTTTATTACTGTCGTTAGGTGTCTGTTATTCATGAAGGATTTACCTGGAGACTCTCAGGTTACACGACCTGATCATGTTTCGAATGCCATGCAAACCCTTCGATGTCACACACAGTCGCCTTGTTTTCTAGTGTTTCTAAATGCTTTTTTACAAACTCTTCTGGGATAAAACAATGACAAACACTGTCTTTAAACCCTTTAATGGATTTGGACACTTCATGTGTGTATGCGAGAGTCTACAAGTTGTCTTGTTAGATATAGAGATGGTGTGTGTGTGTTTTCCTGCAGATATTAAGGTCAGACTCATATCATGTCATTTTGGACTCCAGGGGCGTCCAATCTCTCCGACTGTTAAATATTTATTTTAATGTTAAGTTATGACTTACATCCATGTGACGTTGTCCATCTTTTACTTTTTTTTTTTTTTTGTATATAGCCATTGCTAAGAATGTAAAAAACTTCTTACTGTACAGTAAAAAGCGTCAGTGTAAAACAAGGTGTGTGTGACGCTGAACTGCTGTCTTTTGTCATCTGTCAGTTTTTTTTTTTACCAAACATGCAGAATAATAAACTTACATTTAAATATCATTATACTGTACATATATTATTTTAGTAAGTTATTTTAAAGTTAATTATATAATGTCATAATACTTCACATATATTTTATTTTATATTTATAATTTAAAATATATAATAGCATTATATATTTTAAATTATAAATATAAAATAAAATAATAGTAATTCAATAAATGATGGTATGTGGTGTTACTGTTTTATTTATAAAAAAATATTTTAATAATTTATTTTAAATAAAATTGTTCTACACATTTATTTGTATTATATATTATATTTTAGCATATAAATACATTATGCAGTCAGTCACTTTTATTTATAACAAATTAAATAATTTTAATCGGAATATAATTTAAATAATAAAGTGTATTGTATAGTCTCAATGTAATGCACACAGATTTTTATTATATATTTATTGTAAAAATATATATAATACTATTAAAGATCAATTATATAGTGTCATATAAATATATATCACAGATCATGGACCCATTGTTGCATGAAGCATTTTCAACTTTCCAATTATAATCTAAAATTTCTTAAAGTTTAAACTTTAAGGTAAACAAATGACAAAAATGCATGTCACACGAAAGACTCAAATAAGTGCAAATTCCTATATATATATATATACATATAGATACTACGGGGCGTATTACTACTATTACGCTGCGCTGTAAAAAAATTATATGATCATACACTAATTTTTTTTTACTGCTTTTTACCTAAAAATATTATGGTAACAATATTATGCATCATATTTTTGAGTATATGCTTGATTTCTTGATTTTATTAGTGCAATGTTCTCAGTATTTTCAATAAAACACTGAACCACAATTTTCTTAATAAAATATACACAATATTTTTTAATGACATTTACAAGACTACAGTGCATGTTTACATTGCTTTAACTCATTTTTGATATTTTTTTGTGAGTTTTACACAGGGTTGGGGAGTAACGGGATACATGGCGTTACGTGGGCTAATTGAAATTCTTGTAATAAAAATTGGTAACTGTAATTCGTTACATCAAAAAACAAAGTAATCAGAATACAGTTACATTTTGTAAAAAAAAAAAAAAAAAAAAAGGCACCGTCTATGGGGAATACTAACAGGATTACAATGGTTTCATTTAAAGCCAAATATTTTTTGACATGATAACGTGATATTACTGTGAAACAAAACATAGGCCTACATGTGACTAGAATTGCCACGGCATGAGTTATTCACCAAATATTAAAATTGCTCAGCCATCATAAATA